AACGAGACTTTTACCAGCTTCCAGGGAGGCTACCTTGAATACCCAAAATCGAAATAGAAGGCTTTGTAAGCGTAGAAAGTATATTCTACAAACACCCAGCAATCACAGTACAATCAAGCATACAACTCTCGTTTATTTATACAACATAGGAACGTCCTTGAGACAGTTAAGAAAATAGCATACTAAAATACACTGCAGCCAATCACAGCCATGGATTTTGCTGGTGGGAATTGAAATCTCAAGGTCAACCGATCAGCCCATGCTGGCGAAACGTGAAAACCAAAATACGGCATTATCAAGCGAATTTTGGGGATCTAACATCCCCAACAGTTCTGTCACGGATAATTCTAATCCTCTTAAAAATCGGAAAGTTTTTAAGTAGTGACTGGCTATTAATGAAGTGATTAGTTTCCATGATGCTACTAAAGTGAAGAATGGGACAGGAAAATCTAGTCTGAACTTTAAGTGACCTGCGTGCTACAGACCGACAGTGGGACATTCCACACTCATGTAGCAGTGTTTTTAGCAGACTTTAAACTGTCAGGTATACATAATGGAATTTTGCATGCACTGAAGTCTTCTCAACACTTCTAAGGACATATGGTCAATTACTATTTCAGTTATTTTCATAACTTCAAGATCAGGATTCTCTGGAACACTGATCGGATATATGTAGGGTGGCGAATCATGAATGGTTCGGTTGACGTTATGTTCACTTAAGCTGTCCTCATAATTATAATTGGCGAAAATATCGGTGTGGAACTCGTAGCTGTTAGAATTAATGGGATTTTGACCAGACTTGCTACAAGTGGTTAAATCATTCGGTTTTGGGTTTGTTGTATTTATATCTATGGGCAGGATACATGGTAAAGAGATCTTGTGTCCCATATTATTGTACAATCCTGGTGAGCCATTAGGAACATCAGAGTGCAATACGGATGGATGACTGTTTTAACGAAGTTTATTTTCATCCGCTTCGGTGGCAGAGTTGGATCTTTCGCGGGTATCGTATAAACGTGACGTGCTTTCGGAGTTATTTGTAAGTAGTATGTGAAAAGTGATAGAATGGAATCGTCGGAAGGTAGGAGAGAGTTTGATATTCCTAGAGTAATAAGAGTATGAAGCCAAAAACTACAGTAAAAAGCTTAAGTAAGAATAATCGATGTGTGGATATAAAGCGTTAGTTTATATGTAACGTAGATCAAGAGTAAAACGATCGACAAAAGAGGAATCACATGAGAAAAGTTACAAAACTATACTGCGCAATAAACAGCGATAATTTTAAACTCAAAACAGAGTTTTGATTTTAGGGATAACGGTTCAGAGAGTTTAGATACGCGCCTTGCCGAGTTAAATTTCAAGAAAGCAGTTGATCTGAGTAAGTAACTGTTCGAAACAATATTGCAACTTTACTTCGCCCGTAATAACACAAAGTGTTTCCAATTCTGAAAGAGGCTCCAAAGTTTGATCCAAAATACACCCTTCCAGTCCAGATAGACGCATCAGCCGTCGGATAACCCAAATTCGATATGGCTGTCGGCGTATCAACTTAAACAAGATAATGCAGTTCAGGAAGAAACATAGAAACTCAAAAAAGGTACAACAATTAGAAACTATAACAAAATACAAATATTAACATCCTGAAATACTACTAAACAGACCACAAAAATGTATTGCAGAAAAAGTCAATAAGAACATTTTACAAATGTATACATGGGGGGATTTTCCCACACAAAGCCTTCCAAAAACGATATTACAATAAGTAAGCACAAAACGAGCGCAGATCCATCCCTTAAGATTAAAATACTGGTGTAAGAATGGAAATAAAGCGGGCTGTGATACAATCAGCCATAGTGAATTTTTGAGTGTGGGTTGACGAAGGAATGTTTGACACCGCGACAGATGTGGATTAACAGCGATTTTTCAAAACCATGAAACCGTAGCAATGAGATCAGTGAGATTCAGATGCTCTACTGGGTACTAGTCCAGGCCGATATAACATCATACAGCGAAACATCTTTAATGAAGAGTACTTTTCAATATCATTCTGTGGCCAACATTATAGGAAAAGGACGCATCTTCTCTAGCGTAACTTATCAGGTCACTGATATTGACGGTAGTGAAACTTTGTTTCACATCAACTGGTGGGGATCCTTCAGTCGTGCCGGAACACCACCAACACAATGTCTTCAACACTTCAACTTCCTTATTCAGTTACCTGAATTCAGTTATCCTATGCGAGTGATTTTGTCGTTTTGGTATAAATAAAGATATGAGTGAGTAGACAGGCTCCTGCACAGGCTGCCAAAAACCCAAGAGGGTCAGACATGTCCTTTAGGCACTTTCGGAACCCCTGATGCTCGCTTCAACCATGGTTATCTTGGGTCGGTATCGAAAGAATACCGAAATCGAGCTCGAAAAGAAGGGGGAAATTGCTGAGATGGTGGAGCGAAAATGGCAGCAACGCAAACAGAAAGTTTGTGAGTAAAAGAGGGTTATGAAAAAAAGTACATTTAAATAATCACTGGTACATTTGATCATAATAATGAAAGTTTCTACTAAACCAATTGCGTTCTCTACATAAAAGTGGATTTACTACAAACTCTTGCCTTATTCAAATGGATACTCTTATCTCTTGACACTTGTAAATCACTTCACAATATGGCGAGAAGCAGTGTTCATTAAAGTCTAAATCCTGCACTCATTTGTTCTTGAGTAAATCACTAAATAAATTAAAAACCAGATACCAAGTTATTTATAAACTGAGACTAATGAACCCAGATATACTGTTCCTCAATTTCTACGTTTTTAGAGCAAACTTAAAAACAAGTTGGTTGTCTGACTAAACAGACATAAGCTCGGTAAAAATAGTGATACTGACGAGAGTAGACAACTGTCGGTTAATTTCTATGAGTTCCTCATGTAGCACATCAGCAAGTAGGGCCAGTGGAATTTTATTGGGTCCTAGCTAAGTCATCTGGTGGTTATAAGAAATCACTGAACTTGCGTGCAATGACCACAGAAATTCAAGACTCAACCACTCATTTGTCTTAAACATCCTTGTTACAACAGGCCCGTAAAGCATTTTAAGAAATTTTAGTAAAGTCATAAAGCGACTATTGTTACTTCGAAGAAGTGGCTAGGAAAATAGAAGACGTACGATACATCTTTCGATATTAAATAGAAATTGGTCTTTTCTTTCTTAATCTCAAAACATTAATTGAGGTATTGTTTAAATGTATTAGGAGGATTAGAGTTCTAGTCCCGCCAGCCTCTCACCTGACGTATCCGTACATCAGGATGTTTGACGTGACAGTAAAGACACTGGACGGAAGAGACTCTGTATTCCATGTAGAAGATGAGGTATGGGTTTCTTTCTCACTTGAAGCAATTTTTAGGACATGAATATTGAAAGTTTTAAAAAAGAAATCGAACAGAAGCTGGTTAGTTGTTTTTCAAAAATTTACACACCTGATAGAATATCGCTGCTGATCAACAACGCCTTATTTTTCAAGGAAGAGTTCTGAATAACGAGCAGACTCTGGTGGAATGTGGTAAGATTCCGGATGTGCTTTATTCATGTTATAGTTTTCTGTTGCAACGTAAACCGTTTTCGCGCAAGTGTATCCTCATTGCTGTCAGTGTCATTAAAACCTTGCCCTGATTATTTGCTTCATGAAGTAGCTTCTAGAACTTAAAAAAATTAGGTGCTCGCCACTAGTTACGTTAGTACTATCTCACCCTCATTTTGAACCAACTGAATTGAGCATCGTTAAAATGTCTGGTCTCAGCTGGCATGATATTGAAGAAATCGCTTCCATTACACATTAATGTGACAAGTTTTTAGACCAAGTGGCCGTTCTTCGTAAACATTTTACATCAAGTCGTGGGTAGGTGAATTGGGTTGATATACCCATCTACATCTTTGTCCAGTGAAGTACTTTAATACTCTGATAACTCCGCTCATCCTGGGGTTAGTCAGCTGTAGTTGTATTTTAGCATCTGAAAACATTAGTGTCTGCCAGTCATGGTTCGTTGAGGTAAAGGGGATAGACGTAAAACATGAGGCTGGTAAATTGCGGGATTGTAAATCTTTATTAGTTAAGGTAATTTGAACTTGTGTTAGGTATCCCAACTACTAACACTGAAATTGGACTAAAACACTAGAGGTGATCAGACCAAGACTTAGCGTTATTTCAAAAAATGACTTAAATTGTGATGGATAACTGCGAATACGTAGTTGAGGTTCACATCACATAGTGGCCAGTTACTGGCTAAAGATGAACGAGTTGACAAATACAACTAAGTGCTAATGAATTCGTCCTTTATGGTTGCGTAAAGTGTAAATAATCTTTAGGTGACTGTAAAGTAGGTAGAAGTGGTCTTGACAAACTAGCGGTCTTTCTGCAGATACCCAACTCTAATTACATACTAGCTCTTCGAGAATTACTTGTTATCTTAACTCCGGTCTTTACAAACTCGCTTTCCCTTTTAACATAGCAGAATCACTGGAAATGCACGTTGTCTGATGAGAACTTCTTACAATCTTCACATCCCAGTACAGTTGTCAGTATGTTTCTGCTCTCAAAACTTACTGGTGTCCAACTGTTGATTATGACTGATTGATTGACTGGAATTTAGTTTATTGCGTTCTTAGTGTATTTCGTTGGTAACTACAATAACTCGTTTTCACGAACGATTAATATGTGCCCGTTACTCTTTGTAAAGCGTAAGCTTCAGACCAGGATTCTCCAACCAACTCTGTCTTGGCTCTCCTTTCCAGTTGTTCCCAATCGCTATTCATTTTTTCTGATGTCTGACTTGAGTTTCCAACGCAATGTGCTTTTTGATTTTTCCCTTTCCCTTCGGTTTTTCACCAACAAATTAACTGTCGAAAACTACAACTTTCTTTCTGGAACTTGTTTGTTAAGTTCTATAAAATGGTTCATGTGATGGGTATTTAAAATTATAAGATGTCCTTTTTGTTTAATTCGTTTCCTATGCATTTAGGTGTTCAAGGAAAAGTAGTGCATCTGGTTGCCAGACCTCCTCCAGTTACGAGAGAACAGTCATCTTCTGGAACAGCAGCAACTGACTCAACAGCTAATGTGAGTGGTTCTGGTCTAGGCGACTTTACATTTGGAGGTATAAGTATGCAGCAAGCTATACAAGACATAACTTCTGGAATACTGAGTGGTGTAAGCGAGCTAAGCAGAGCTACTAAGTATGTATTTGTCTGAATATTTACTGTTTTGTAGTTCTCTTCACTTACATATATGTGTCATTTAGTTGATTAGTTACGTATTTTGTATCTTAATAGCATTCATGTGGAAAATTTCTTTCTCCTTCGGGTCACTAACTGGGATAGAATCATACAGATCGATGTATCGAGTCTTATGTAGCAATGATCTAATGAGCGAATATTTGCAGTTACCCCCATTTCATTTTCCATTTCCACAAGCTTACGATATATAGACAATCTGGTAGTGACCTGTTACTGGCTTCTATCAGCAACGATATCCAGTGGGATCGTTATCAATAACCCGGTTATATTGCTTTTTATTTAGTTGTGTTTACTGGCGTCTTTCAGTATGATACCATAGAAGCGTTACATAGTTCTATTATCTTTCCTAATCACTAATAGCGTCCTATACGTTGGTAAGGTACGATGCACGATAGCTAAATAGGCGAAATGTATACGTATGATATAGAGTGTGCGACTCAAAAATTACTTAGCTTATTTGTTGAGGCATTTAGTTACAACCTCCACAACTGATGTCTAATAGTTTAGGAGCTCAGTCACTAGCCAATGACCCACGTTAGAGTTAAATGCTCGTCCACAATTTGGTGCACAATGTTGGCCTTTACTAGCGTTCCTTGTTAGAATTTAAAAATATCTCGTAAGCTCTCATTATGCACTAGGATTGTTTTGTATAAACACGAATATTGGCAAAATGGGGGTACCAAACATTTATACTCCACACAAGTTATTGAATTTATGGATGGACTGACATACTTGTTGGGTGCTCAAACCAAACAGATGGTTTTCTTAAGGGGTCACTCCCTGGACCTTTTACTTGGAGGTCTAAACTACTAGAAAGTGGAGCAATGTCAGGAAATGCAGTTCAGCCCTTGGAGGTTCATATCTGCCTTGTCTTATTTATTGTTTATACAACGCTATTCAAAGTAATTAGAATTACCTAGATTTTGGTTTGGACGAATTCGATTTTCGCTGTTTTTCTGTTCCCTTGTTTTTACAAGTGTAAAGAATTGAATCCGTTTGTTTTTGTCTACATTTATATTAAATTACACTACTTGTTTGAATTTGCACTGTCTTATCATATCTCTTAGCTTTCAATCTTCCTAACCTTCGTCATTCATGGCGTAGGCGAGATATCCGTTTGCTGACTAAAGGACGAGTGTACTACGCAGTAGTTCGCTCCGTCATAAATGGCTGTGAAGCATGGCCAGTCAGAGCAGAAGATATTCGTAGGTTACTGGTTTTCGATCATACCTGTCTTCAAAGTATTGCTCGTATATCCTGGGACGACCAAGTGAGCAATGCTGTTATTAGGAAAGGAGTGCTAGGTAAGGATGGCAGATCAACAGATGAAATATTGAAGCTTCAGTTGAGGTGGTTGGGACATGTGTTGCGTATGCCCAACCACCGACTGCCTCGTTGAGCTATATTTTGCGGTGTAGGAATAGGTTGGAAGAAAGGTAGCGGCGGCCAGATCAAAACATGGCACAAATCCATAAAGTCACTGACGAGTAGACTGAGTCATGTCGGTAGGTGTCGACTACCTGGTTGGGGTCCGCGAGATGTTAGTAATCGTTGTGTTCTCTCAAAAACTAAACTTTTTAATTCTTCATCACTTTATCTTTTTAAGTCTGTTTCACTAGATTCCACTTCTTGAATAATATATTCTAATCCTAACCTCTCCGACAACTGCTAATACTTTTACTACCTCTACTACTATTGGATTTGAATTGACAATAACATCTCTGTGCTAATGTGGTATGACAGCATGAACTGATGTACGTACATACGAAGTTCTACGTTGCTATTGATTGATTGATTGGTAATAGCTTTTCTTCGTCATACCAGTAGTTTTTTGTGCTTGTACAACATTTAATGCTCCCATATCCGAGATTTCATTGTCGAATAATTTTTTTAGGATTTTATCGTTCCTATTCACTTGATTCATTTTTTAGCCTGCCTCTCTCTCGTGATAATGGTCTTTCTGGTGACTCCGTTTATGATCATTCTTTAATAACCCTACGAGAAAATACTTTCAATAAGTTGCATCGCCAAGCTACTCGCCTTACTCAAAAAATATCCCAAATAACATCCAAAGACTTTCATAATAACAAGGTAGATCCCTCAGAAATTGAACCATCTCCTTCCACGTCGCATTCCATCAACCAACGTGACATTCAAACCGTTGAAATAATTAATACTCGTGATTATGCAGATGAAAGTAAGTCAAGAATTAGTCCTAATAATTTTTTATGTTTGCACTAAATATTTTATGAAACTCTTCCGAAATCATGTTCATTATTGTTGCTGATATACCACCTAGTTCTGCTCAAGGTTAGCTATAGGTGCGTTATATTCTAGTCCAACCTTCATAAGTCTACAACAGCACTAAATCACCTGTAGAGATCAAATACTTGTATGTGAAGTCGTACCAAAGGCTTCATACTTTTATCTTGTGTAAACTGTTAGAATATCTTTATACATAGCGGTTACTAAATCCAGCAAAATAGGAAGCCAAATCTTATAGTGAGTACATTTGATTTATCATTAATTAATGTTCTTTGAAGTTAGTTTCCTCAAATTCTTCTGTGTCTCATGAGTTTAAGAGGTAAACTTCCAATCACTGTAGGTTTTTTTGTATTGGACTGCTTTAGACTTGTAAGCACACATCTAATGTTCAAAATCATGAGGCGAATAGAATATTACAATGTAGTGGATTGAAAGCTTTCAATCACTCAGTCAGTCAGCAGCTAAAAAGTAGGAATTAGTATGTTCGTACATCACTCCATGCTGTCCTACCACAGACAGACACAACATTGTAAATTAAAACTCCATAATAGTAGAGGTTGTAAAATTATTAGCGGCGAAAGCTGCTCGTAAGGCGAAATAACTGACACTATCTCTGATGATCTTATAGATAGCCAGCAAATAGATACTTTGCAAAAATGACAGCTGCAGGATATTTCTACACAAGCCCGTTTAAATGTGAAGAAATTAAAAAATTTTTTGACCTTTTATTAGGACCTGTTTTGAATGGATCTAGAATCTCAGTTAGTCACAACGTAGAACTTCGTGCATGAATACATAAGTTCAGTTTGCCATATCCCATCAGCACAGAGATGCAGCTGTCAGTTCAAATCCCATTGTGGTACAGATAGTAGGAGGATTAGCAGTAATGGAGAAGATAATGGTCTGAAGACGTGATTCGAGAAGTATAATTCAGTGAGATAACTTTAGAAAGAGAAAGATAGATGATGAGGAATTCGGAAGCTTAGAATTTGAGGGAATACAAAGAGCGGATGCTCCTGCGCCATTACAAACGATTTTAAGCCATGCCGTTCAAGGTTTCTAACCATCGGTTACTATCATCTCGCAGAACCCAAGCAGGTAGTTTACATCTACAACATGACTTAGTGTACTTGTCAATGACTTCATGGATTTGTGCCATGTTTTGGTTTGGCCGCCCCTAACTTTCTTCCAACCTATTCCTACACCATAAAACATCGTAACACATATCCCAACCACGTGAACTAATGAAGTTTTACTACTTCATCTATTGATCTGCCATCCTTACCTAGCACTCCTTTCCTAATAACAGCATTGCTTCCTCGGTGGTCCTACGATACACGAGCAATGCTTTGAAGACATCTATAATCGAATACTCGTAACTTACGAATATCTACCATGACTGGCCATGTTTCGCATCCATATAGCAGGACTGAGCAGACTACTGTGCAGTAGACCCAACCTTTGGTTAGTAAACGAATATCTCGCCTACGTGACAAGTGACGCGAGTTGGCAAAAGCCAATAGATCCTTCTGTATCCGTGCTGAGATTTCGTCAGTCACCAGACCATCAGAACTGATGAGCCTTCCGAAATAAGTGAAGCGGTCAACACGCTCAACTAATTCACTCCCTATTACTGGTTCAGTTGCCGATGCAACCCAATCCTGAAGCAACATTTTGCATTTAGAGGAGGAGAATCGCATCCCGAACATGCTTGCATTATTGCTTAGGGGGTTCAGAAGACACTATTTTTGTTTAGCGTCTTCACCAAGTAGAACTATGTCATCAGCATACTGTAACTGGACAAGCGTGTCTCCTGGTAGAAGGCTCACTCCTGACAATTCGGACGAAGATAATGTTAGCTCTAGAAGCATGTCCACGACAAAGTAAACAGGAATAGAGAGAGTTGACAACCCTGACTGACACCACTTGAAGTAAAGAATTCCAATGACAGTTCTCCATAGGCTCTCACTCGACCAGTGGTGTTCGAGTAGAAAGCTTGTATAAGGTTGATGTACTTGTTTGGTACATCTTTTAATGACAGACACTGCTACAGAACCTCACAATCAACGGAGTCGAATGCCGCTTTAAAGTCGAGAAATACTACCAGTGTGAGGCATTAGAACGTGTGTCTTTTTTCAAGGACCTGACGTAGTGTGAATATTTGGTCTATACATTCGCGTCCAGGTCTGAAACCAGACTGGTTTTCTCTAGTCTGCTCTTCACGATCTCTAGTTAGGTGTCGGAGTATTACTGAGGCCAATATTTTAGATACTATATTAGTTAAACTGATTCCTCTGTGATTGTCATAAGAGTACTTTTGTCCTTTCTTGTAAATTGGGACAGTCAGTGATTGAGATCAGTCAGATGGGATTACGCCTCGTTCCCAGATTCTACCGAAGATCTCAGTCGATCTAACTGCCAAAACTAGGCCACGGTTCTTAAATATCTCGGGTAAGTCTTTCAGGCCCTGAAGGTCGCCCTCGCTCCAGATTTCCTATAGCTTACTCAACTTCATAAAGACTGAGGACTTACACCGAGGTGCCATTTATGATGACTGGATATTGTGAGCAACCGAAGTGTTTCTGAAGGCCGGTTGAACTGATCCCTAGATTATTCTACCCGTCGATCCAGTCTCCTGGATTGAGAATGAATAATAGTCCCATCCTTTTGTGAGATAGTTTCGCTAGCAGATGGGTTTCTAATACCGGTTTCCCTGATAAGTTGGAACAACTGTCTGCTGTTACCTATCCAGAATGTCAGTAATTCTTAAGTCTTGGGTCTTACCGTTCTCTAATCAACCTGCCTGGCATGGTAGAACCTACAGGAACACGTTTCAGCCAATATAGCTTGGTTGAGTCATCACGATAGGCGAACCCGACCACCACATCAAGGTAGCAGCTACGGTCAGGCAACCATGTTTACAATAAGGATAATGAAAAACACGTTCGCGTGCTAAGCTGATTATTCGCAACTCTGAATTCAATAATGTGAACGTGACCTTTTTTTTTATCATATTTTCCCTTTGTACGCTAATTAAAGTGAGAAGTCCTAGTTTGTTCAATAGCTTTCTTGGTAGAGACTCCAGCATAATTGATATCCATGTTTATTCAACTATACGTTGATCATTCGATCATAATTAGGTAAAGAATTTACTGAAACTTGGCAGTTATCTCGAAACAATCACTGTAAGTTAATCATTGCGTAGAATAGTTAATTGAAAATCAATTAACTAGTTACATATCGAATAGCTGATACACCCAAAAACAGATTAACGGTTAATGATCTAAGTTCACCCTGCTTAAATCTATATAACGAATATGCGTCGAAAGTTTACCAATTCAAAACCACTCTTGATCGGTATGCAGATTTTAAGATTAGTCTTCTTCCTCTTATGTTATTCAATCCCACAACAAAAATGTTTTAATTTACCTAGGTTCGATATTGTATTGTCGAATAGGACATTGAAGGGGGGGTGTCACGTCAGAGAATTCCAAATAACATGAATAGCATGTGCATACTTTATTTAAGTATTCTGTTCAAATGATAAAATCTATACCAGTGTAGTTACGCTAGTTTTGATCATTTTTCTATTAGTTTTAATGCCTGTTATTTTGAGTAATAATATTATGTAAGCGCTTTAATGAATCACTCTTCTTACTTAGCTTCCAACCGAGAATCATCACCCATGTTAGTGGATGTCGATGAATATGATAAAATTTCCCCAGACGAGATCAAAAACGCTGATAATAATGACCAATCAAAAACTGAGGAAGAAAATAACGCAGAAAATGTGGATAATTCAATAAGTTCTACACCACAACCTTCTTTGGCTTTGTTAGCAGATATGCTTGGTAAATATCGTCAACTGTGGCACTCTATAGAACCCCAGTTAGATCAGTGGGGAGAAATGTTGCGCAACGAAAGCAAGATTGTGGGGACTGCATCTGGAATCTTTTCCACAGTTGAAGACTCTTCTACACTAGAAAACGTTGGTCATACATCACAAGACATTGAAACTGAGAGTAGACCACTTCAAGCGTTGAACTGGCATCCACGTGTAAGTTCATTATCTACGTTTCGTCAAATTGAAATTTTTCTGGACTAACTTTGCTTGTTGGGGAATTATATTGCACTACGCACTAGAATAGAGTTCCTATTTCTTATGACAAATATGAAAGGTGTGATGCCTAATTCCTTCATTTCATAGTTCTTTCTACATGTCTACCCTGTAAGAGACTATTGCTGCTGACAGAAATACTGTTGATGCTGGTTATATTTTGATACAAATTTATTCCTGTTAGTTAACGTTACATAATAATAAGATTGTATATGGACGTTGTTCTATATTTAGCGACAAAAAACAACCTTATAATTTTATCTGTCAATTCTTTTATCTGTTTTAATTACTCAAACAGGCCAGCGCTAGTGAATTGTTCGTTTTTATAAGCCATGTTTCATGTCACACATAATCTGATCACTGTTTTATTTTTTCTTTAGATTTTTTCTCAAGTGAGCCGTTTACTACACTTAAACGCCCATATGCTTCATTTGATATCCGATTTTAATGTGATTACTATGACCGAACGCCAGACACAACAAGTCGGTAGTAACATTCCCACCTCTCAGACTAGTAACTCAGAAGCTAAAACATCAACATCTCAAAGACAGAATCCTAATGTGAATACGTTAATTGATCCTACGAGTGGTCCAATGCGAGAGGAAACGAAGCAAATTCCACAAGTCAAGCGATGTACTCAACGGGTTTTAAGTGTTTCAGATACAGATAGACGTCGGATACGCGCACGAATTAGTGTTGAACCACCAGATCTTACTATCGTAGCAACTGGAGATGGACAGGAACCGCGGATTATTAGATCTGAACATCCTGTTTCTAATATTGGCTCCGCGACTTCACGGTAATTATTCCTATAGTTTTGTGACTTCATTTAATAATTTCTTTCATAATACTATCATTTTATTCAGAAGTTGTCAGTCAGTTAAAACGTAGAACTTCGGACGTATATATATCAGTTTAAGTTGCCGTTCCACATTAGCATAGAGACACAATTGTCAATTCGAATTCCAAAGCAGTAGAGGTATTAGAAGTGTAAGCAGTAATCAGAGAGATTAGGGTTCGAAGATATTATTCGAGAAGTATAATCTATTGAAATAAGAAGGAAAATATGAAGTAATGAGAACTAAGAAATTTGGTTTCACCGACCCTTGATTTCTTCCAACCTACGCCTACGCTACAAAACAGCTCGTCGAAGCAGTCAGTGGTTACGAATACGTCACACATGTCCTAATCACCTCAACTGAAGAAGCTTCATCACTTCATCTATTGATTTGCCATACTTACTTAGTGCTCTTCTCCTATCAACTGCATTACTTACTTGATTGTCCCAGGATACACGAGCAATAATTAAAAGACAGCTATGATGAAATTGTAGTATTCTACGAATATCCTCAACCGTTATTAGCCATGTTTCGCATCCACATGGTAGGAGCAAACTGCTGCGCGGTAGACTCGTCCTTTCGTAAAGCGGTCAACACGCCCAACTAATTCACTCCCTATCACTGGTTCAGTTGCCGATGCAACGTTTCGTGTATTCGAATCGTTTGCATCAATGGCGCGAAGTGATTAACGAACATGAGAAGGTTAGCTCGTTGACTTAAAAGATATGCTAAGGGGTGTATGAAGGATCCGATTGTGACCAATTTAGTTGTAGGTACTTCATGATAAACCTGGTAGGGAAATCGGATTAGCGTTGGTCTGTGCGACCAAAGACCTCAAGGGACAACTACTTGAAGCCGGTCACTCACGAACTATTTACGAGATGTTTTTGAAGTGTTAACTCCTCTCTTCAAATGGCCTTACAATTGGAGGAAATCCGTTACGTGTGACATTTTCAGGGTCGACCTTTTCTAACCTTCCTTGTGAGAATGCAACATTGCTGCAGATGCTGGTTGTCCGAGGGAAACACCTCACTGTTATCACATCTCTCTACAGCCAGCAGTACGACTTCATCCTCAGACCTTTAGTTGCTGCGTTGAGTCTTACCGTTCTCCGGTCGACCTGCCTGGTATGATAGAACCCACAGGATCAAGATTCAGCCAATATCGCTTGGTTGGGTCATCACGATAGGCAAGCTCAACCACCACGTCCAGGTAGCAGCTACAGTCTGTCATAGTATGTTACCTATTTATTTGGTCAGAAATTGTTTATTCACTGATCTAAATATATTCCGAGGAGTAAGATCTTTAAATAAGAATTTAATTTAACTCTTCTTATAAGCATTTATTGTTTCTCGAAATGAGCCCAAACCAGTGTAATTCATGTTATCAATTCATCGATTTTGTTATCGTTTCAGTTCTTGCATGATTACTAATCCTTTAAGATTGCATCTGATTCCCTATAATCTGTTCTTATGGTTATCGTTCTATTCTTTGATTTTAGTATTAGAAGCCGATCAGCGTCTAATATAAACCGCGCTAGTAACCTTCGAGAGGAAAGTAGTAAGTACTTATAGATGATTTTCCATTTCACCATGATTACTTAGTTTCTTTCTAATATTTTTATTTGATTTCCTTAAACTGACTTTTTATCATCGATTTATGCTATCACTTAATAATCAAATTCATTTCGGTTTTTGTAGCTCCAGCTGTAACGAGTCCATTCAATGCATCTAACTCTGCAATGACTACGACTACGACCTCTTTGGGTAACGGGCGCACGGCTATAATCCATCGGTTTGATATTCCGATAATATCTGTAAACACGTTCAGTCTCCCAGCTGCTCCATTTTTAGCATCACTTTCATCTTCAGCAACGTCAACAAGTGTACCTACTAGTATTATGTCAATCCCATCTACAACACGCACTTCAACCACTACCAATGATTCACTTCCAACTACTCATACCAACGTAACTATGGTTCCTCGCCCATCACTCCCTCCACTTACAGTAATTGATTCAATTGATCCATTTTTGGCATGCAATTCTCGTCACTTTTCACATGAAGTTAGTCATAGGGCTCCTACATCACACAATCTACCTGCACCACCACCACTAACACCAATAAATGATTTTGTCACCCCCCATAATGTTACTACTAATCGTATGGTTCATTCACAAGCAGCCGTAGATCCTGTCACCTCAAGTAACCAAACAAGATCTGGTTTACCGTCTCAAGTTTCGTTTTCAGGTTCTGTACCAGTAAGTCGGTTATTATTGTCATTTTTGCATAATTTACATTTTATTCAAAAATCGGTAACTTTGTACGTAAAACGATAGGATGAAAATCTGTGGGTGGTCATCGTCAATTTTCTTGTCGCGTTTTAAACGCTTTTCCTTCAAATTAAGATCAACATTTAGTGCCCGTTATGTATTGGGTTATTTTAATATCATGTATCATCTTCATGTTTGATGATCACAGCTTGTTCTGGTAAAACTAAGCGAATCTTACAGCAAACTGGGTAAACGCTTCGTTTGTATTTTGTATAAACATTTGATATGTGTTTTTCAGCCACATTTTTCGTGGCATTAATATCGGTTTTTGAAATTTCATAGTCAAGCACTCCAGGCGATGTACCTACAGCGAACACTGGAACTGCCGGAACTAGATCTGTATCATTTTCCCTTGGTTCAGGAATCAGTCTCCCACAACAACTCTTATCACTGGTATCTGCTGCAACTAATGCCGCGATTTCGGCTGTGAATACCGATAATTTCACTTCTGGTCCGTCACCATTCAATTTACTTGTTTCATCGTCACCCATACAATTCACAATAAATACATCCCATCCTGTGACAACTTTAACATCAAGTACAACAACAACATCAACCACAACAAGCGGATCAACAACGCATAATTCTGCAAGTAAGATTACCCTACGAACTATTATTATTCTGTTTCATGAGTGTGTTAAATGCATATTTCTTGCTTTCTGTAGTAGTTGATATCATTTTCTCGCCTCCGCTTCTCAAATTTATTCTCTCACTTTACTAATGTGAAGGACCGATACACACACTTGTTTTAGGTCCTATATTGTTTGTAACTAACGAACTAGAAGTTCTTATTGCAATAATAAGATTTCATTTTTCTCTTTTATGACATGAAAGTTAGTGGATTTCAGTCGTTTTTAGATATAGGTAAGGTGGTTGGCCACGGTTTTAGGATGATTATATTTCAAAAAAGCGGAGAAATTCCTACGCTTTAATCAGTAAAAATACATTGATGATACCAGTTTGTCGTTTCACACGGTTTTTACTTTCTGAGCCGATTACCCTGATTTGAAAATTCGTTTCATTGAATTATTGTACTTTTTTAAAACTGTATTAATGCTCTCAATTTCTATCGTACCACTTAGGCGTTTTTGCGCGAAGTAAACCATCATGGGCATCGAACGAAGTCAGTCAATCGCAACTAAAAGGTGTATTTCAAATTTTCAGTGTACTCATAGATGGTTTAATTAAAACAGTATGGTCTAGGATTTCCCAGTCATCATCAAATTTGATGGCCGCTTGTGAAAGTGAGTTTATAATGTTGATATGCGTTTAATTACTTACTTTGAGAAAGTTTTATCGATACCTTAAATACTTTTTCCGTTGAGTTGTCTTCCTAAATATCTTCAATGTCCATTTCTTTCAGATGTGGATGATCAAAATTATTCCGTGAATAACGCATCACGTGGTCGAAATGTATCCGTCGGGTTGCTAAGTGATATTATTACCACTATTCATAATGAGGTAAATGCAGATCCTAATACTGAAAGCTGTGGTCACGTTACTTCATCCTCCTTGGATGGTTTACGCGAACATCTGCAACACTATCTTCTGTGTGCTGAGTCAGTTTTGGGGAATAATCAATCAGAACTTGTCGATTCGTTAGTCAGTGTTATTTTTAGAGATCGATTGTCAGATGCTTCTCATAGTGAATATTCAATATGGTTAAGAAATTTTGGTGAAAATCTCCCTAAACCCTTGGTCGATACAACAGCATCGTTTGCCAAATTATGTAGGGTAAGTTGTTCACACTATTTGATCCTTTTTCTTTTTGACGTATATATTCGTTTTGTTCCGTTTAACAGTGAAATTACTTGCAGGTTCTATTCGTATAAATTCTTATTTATATTCCTACTTGGTTTCGATTACGGCAACTAAAACCGATGCAGACCTTCGTAGTTCACTCTGATATGTAAACACCATCAGGAAGAATGATAGTAGGAATGCTTAGTGACTTATAATTATTTTTAGGACAAACAAAAATACTAGTGACTATTTCTATATATACGCCTGAATTACATTTGCTAAATGTTACAGTGCGAATTCACTTCGCATTTTCATTTTCGGCAGCTTCGGTAAACTCTCAGTAGTTAGTTGCTTTATTGATCGAAAAGTCTACATATATATATTACTTTCCTTAAGATTTCATAGTTCACGCGATTCAAGTTATTTCTGATCATTTATTATATACCTGAAAACTAAATACTACGATATATATCGATTTTTTATCTGCATTTTATTTCTTTCAGTATATTGTTTCTTCTCAGTTGGATTTGTGGAGAGCCAGTCCAACTAATACCGGGTTCGGTAGCACCCTACTAATGACTCTGAAGATTGCTTGTACAGACCTACTGTGCCTAACAGATATTCTAACAAACTATCTTGCCACCTCTTTGGGTATTGAACTACACACTACAGCAAGCTATTCAGGAAGCTCCCGGGGATTTCGTAACGAAATGTTTGGCATTACTATGGGCTTCGAAATGCTGTTGGATCATTTAAACTCATTTTTGCAAGAACATGAAGGTAAGTACATTAGTTGCTTCATCTCAACTAAAATGTCCATCAATCTTTTAAAAAATTTATAAGTTATTCAAGCTGTCACTAAATTATTCTACGTTGCTTTTACCAGGATGTCGTATTTCTTACAGAATTGAATCCAGAGCCACGTCATAAAAAATTTCCACATAAACGATTTTTCGTAGAGATAGGTAATGTAAAAAAATGAATAAACTATTTTATCAGTATCTATGAAAAATCTGAAAACAGATGATGTGTTCTCAGTATCTCTTAGTGGTGTTATCAAAATGTGCCTCATTTTTATTATAATAATATTTTATTAAACTGTTCATGCCTTACTAAATCCATGATTTTTGTAGATGATGAATATTTTGACTTTGCTCAAGACTTTATAACTGGTTTCGAGAATTGCATTAAATCCTATTGTGGTATGGATGAAACCACATTACGTGCTAAGGTGACACATCAAAAATCTGCATACATTGAGTTCAGAAAGTCCCAAATTCCTTCACCTATGATGGTTGATCCGGTGAGTCTCCTCTTTATTTACATTTTTATATTAAATGACCATGTCAGAATAGTAGATCGGTGGTCCGGTAAAGTTTTAAGCTGTATTCATAAATAAATATAGCAAATATCGTAACAATTATTTATAATATGTACAAATAAATTTAGCTCACGGGAGTATTATTATCTTTCAGTCAAATGGGGAGATTCAACGAAATGCATTTGATGAAGATATGCACGACGATGAACTACCATTTTTAGATGCGTATTCTGATTTGCCTACGGATGAAATAAGCCCTTTTTTATCAATGAAACAGCAGTCTTCAGCTATTTCAAAATATAATGATGTATCTACTGGTCAGGCTAAATTACAATCAAAAATATCTACTTTACCTGATTGGACTCCAAAACCAGGAGAATTGCCTGAAAACAGGAATGCACTTGATCCTAATCCGAATACTACTCTGTCTATGAGTCATGACCTATCACCTCCAAATGAAACAGAAGGTTGGCACGCAGTTTTGCCTCCTGCCTGGATTCACGTAGTCACTAGTGATATATCTACTATGTCACGTAACCTCCCAACCACTGATGATCCTAATCAATTCGGACGATTTAGTGATGGATATATAGCAGGCATGCCTGCCAAAAGACGAAAGGTAATACTTTGCGTATTAATTCCTAATATTCCATTAACATTATATATATATATATAGCATAGCTATATATATATATAGCAGACAGTGATACTGCTGGCTGTTGTTTTCATCCAGTGGCAACAATATGAATCAAGCAGCTTTTGATTTTCTGTTTGTAAGTAGGATAGCAAAGTCAAATATTGTTGAATGTACATTTAAAGCCTCATATTTTCAAGAGTAGGTTTAGACATCTTTTTAGGAAAGTTGTCTGACCGTAGCCGCTACCTGGACGTGGTGGTTGAGCTTGCCTATCGTGATGACCCAACCAAGCGATATTGGCTGAATCTTGATCCTGTGGGTTCTATCATACCAGGCAGGTCGACCGGAGAACGGTAAGACTCAACGCAGCAACTAAAGGTCTGAGGATGAAGTCGTACTGCTGGCTGTAGAGAGATGTGATAACAGTGAGGTGTTTCCCTCGGACAACCAGCATCTGCAGCAATGTTGCATTCTCACAAGGAAGGTTAGAAAAGGTCGACCCTGAAAATGTCACACGTAACGGATTTCCTCCAATTGTAAGGCCATTTGAAGAGAGGAGTTAACACTTCAAAAACATCTCGTAAATAGTTCGTGAGTGACCGGCTTCAAGTAGTTGTCCCTTGAGGTCTTTGGTCGCACAGACCAACGCTAATCCGATTTCCCTACCAGGTTTATCATGAAGTACCTACAACTAAATTGGTCACAATCGGATCCTTCATACACCCCTTAGCATATCTTTTAAGTCAACGAGCTAACCTTCTCATGTTCGTTAATCACTTCGCGCCATTGATGCAAACGATTCGAATACACGAAACGTTCTCACTGGTCTCCCGAGACCCCGCCCTAAAGTACGTGTTTGATCTCTTAATGTCCGGATCTTGTGCTAAATAGGACAATAAGCATCCTTAGTTAAAACTTCAGAATTTCGAACCATCGATGCATGCCGCTTTCCCGAAAAGAACACAGGATTCTAGTAGGTTCATTTATTTCATCTCGTCTCGTGTTACGCTCCGTGTATCTGGAAACCATACTGCTGCCTGCTCTGTAGGATTGCACTGAGTTCTGAGGCAGAACTAGACTGGATCCCAGTATATAATCACTCATGCGCTGACCTAACGCGATAGTAGGAACTGGGAAAGTCACCGTTATCTCTGCCCACGTTCCAGCTGACTGAATCTTGAACGGGGTAAAAGATAAATTTTACAGAAACCTTTAATCATCTTCCAAAAGTTAAGAGATCTGATATAGTAATAATGACTGGCGGCTTCAACGCTCAAGTAGGTAGACTTAGCGAAGAGGAAAGACACCTGGGTGAATTTTATGGTGTCATGGTTCAAGGATCAGATGATGGCGACCGTCTACTGCAACTCACATAATAACCTGTTTATGGCATAAGGAGAAACATTTTTTGACAGGGCGACCCCCAAAGTGAATTCAACGATGGAGCCAACTATAAAAGTCAAGAGTATATTTTAGGAGCAGCTAGAAAAGCACTTAGGCTGCCGTGTAAATGTAGCCCACCTCGAGACAGCTTAGAATGATATCCAGAAAGCATCAAGAAGTTATTTGATAGTCGAAAACTTGTTTCACGATGACTTAATTCGCATTATACATTTCAATGTTTCTCCATTTCTTGTTTGTTGTTTTATACTATTCAAATAGGTTATGCAAGAACACTCAGCGTCTTTATTTCAGTCACCTGAGCAATTATTCATAGAATGCTTATCCGATGCTGTTGCAAGTGATCACATTAATAAAGAGAAAACGAATGAATATTCAAACAGCAATGTAGAAGATAAATATAAGTCGAGAGTCAGAAGACTTCCGACTGCAGACATGGAATTAGTGAACTGTTTGAGAGATGTTGTTTCAGATCGATTAGCACTACGTCTAACAAATGACCCAGACTTCAATACGACACAATTCCCACTGTCTACTCAAAAATTTTTAAAACGAGATCCGAAGGCATGAGTCTAATGTAATGCAGCTGTGTGCAGATGTGGCAAGTTTAGTTGATGGGCTTTTCTGTTACTCGTTTGATGTGGCATACAGCAGTGACAATTATTAGAAACGAATCCAATACAGCCGAATCGGGATACCTAACTTATCTGTATCATCAGTTTGACATTTACTTTTAGAATGCCAAAAACGGTATAATGCTAAGTTTTATTTCTTTTTCATGGACTTGTCACAGTTTGTGGTTGTTGGCATTACAAACCTACTAATGATGCCAATGACCATAAATTATATTAAGAATACAAGTTTGGTACATAAATTTTTTTAAATGCTCTAAGTTAAAAAATTATCTTCGTAGATATGCAAATAAAATCGGTCAATAAAGTTATTACGAGTGGTTTAACAAATTCGTTGATGATCTGGCATTACGTCGATAAACAGCAGGACTTTTACCTTTTTGCAGGTGATGACTCTGAATAGGCTCGTCCACTGACTTTTCAGTTTTAGACAAGCGACCCCATCGAAACAACCAAGGTACCATATAAAAGTGCCAGAAAGTCCACGAAACTAAACCAGTTAAAATCAACGACCAAAAAATGCATATATGCGTAGGAAAAGGCTTCGTAATTATGTCCCAACCAAACTTCATAACTATCAAGAATTCCGTTATGATAATGCTCGCAATCATCCATGCTTGTCTCCCAAAGCGTTTACATTTGCTAAGTAGGAAAAAAGTGCAGAAATTAGTTATCTATAGGTTTACTTTGATAAAAATTACAAATATTTATCTCTGCATAGTTTTCACAGTTCGCTTGGGGTTTGGAATCGGGAAGAAGCAGACAAATGATTCGTTTTTATGTACTCCTCAACAATGTGCACCCACCACTCCATCTGAGATCCAATCCAGGTTAAGCCAGTAAACAACTTAGCGGTATAAAATCCTCAATTCCAGTCTATTTACCGTGTAGCGTGATGAAATACTGCCAGTATTGCGCATAACTACCAATATATATAAGCTTCATCGACTACGACTTTTCAGCGGAACTTCAGATATGAGTCTCAGATGCATTTACTAGTTAAGACACGCTCATGTGGTTTTGTGAATATCGTTTCATTGGTAGTTGTTGATTACAAAGGAGACACACTAGACAATTGTTATGTCGTCCTAGTATGAGACCATAGCGGTGACGAGGTTGATCGCTACATAGGGATTTTAAACTGAATTCGGCGTTGCTTGTAAGTTTAATTACTACAGCTAATTTTACATCTGCTGAATGAATTTTTGGAGTCTTGCTAGACAGTTTATTTAGCTGCTTCGATCTGATGGAGCTTGGTGGGATGCTTATTCGATTACCTACTCTCATAAGTATCATAACGCAGTCTCATATCAGCCATCTCATCAGCTCGTTAGTCAAAAGTTCATAATTTGAGTTTGTAAATTTGTTCTACCCCAGAAAAAAAAATAAAGAATTCTACTGCTTGTATTCACTTACGGATCGTCAAGGTATTCAAAATATTCACGAATAGCAGTGGCTCCCATCAGGATCATAAAGATTAAGCGTCCGAGACACAAAAAGTGAGGAGGTGGCACCCAAAGTACGAATTTCAAGTAAAAGGTATTCAGTTCTGCTGTGAGTATCTAACGTGTAGTGAAAAAATCATGGATAAATTATAAGCATGTCATGATTAACTTTAAAAAATTAATAAACTTTGTATCGCACTTCAATTCACTTCAACCCAAAAATGGTCATAGTGGCTCTTTTGTTAATACTGGATTGATGATTGGACGGAAGCAGTGACAACAATCCTAATAATAACGATTTTCCGTATCAATATGATTCAGTACTTCATTGAAAAGGTATAATATTGTAGTAGTGCTTAGTGAAACAAAATAATATCTATATAAAATTATTCACTCTTTAGGGAACAGTTTCATTGGTCTTCAGCCACATTTAAGTTACTCACCATTTCCAATCAACTTAAATAGCAGATTGATGTAATTCCCCTCACTCTTAATACAGTTGTAAATGCTATGTGTAATCTAAAACTTGGGAGAACAGCGTTAGGAGACTTAAGGATAGTGGTCCAGTTTTAGCAGTTAGATTAACTGGGAACTGGACATGATCCCTTTCATTGGTTTATACTTCTCGTTCCCTAATTTTTTCAATTGCCACTAATACTGCTACTGCCTCTACCCCTATGGGATTAGATATTATTATTATAGTATGATGTGCGTACGATAATGTTCATATAATCGACACGAATAAACAACAAGATCGCATTGTATCCGTAAATTCATTATTTTAGGATCGTAAATGGTGCTATCCAAGAGAAAGATCAATGATTTTAATATTCACAAAACTACAATGTACTCACTGCGATTGCAAGGACCAGAGTCCCAAGCCACCTCTTCAGACTCCCAGTGGGACGCCAATCGAAGTCCGTCCATCGGCGAGGGGTAAACTGCAACATAACTCTACGAAGTTTGCCCCTGTATAAGGCAGATTAGAGAGTTGAATTTATGCTCATCAAATATATTTTGCTGATAGTCTTATAAAAATAATTCAGAATTAAGAATAATAGATCATATGTGGCTAGCAGTGTATTCTCGGGAGCGTATTGCGTTCTACTTGGGACTCACCAGCTGGATGTTTCTGCACCTCAGAGTTGATGTTTACTTTGGGCATCATGCATCACACAGCTGGCAACATTCTGTCTTCTATACAAACTTGTGTTATAGTAACTATATCGAGGCGATCCGCATACGTCAACCAAGACTGATCGAATTTAAGTCAAAATATTATCTACAGGATAATCCAAACCATTTGGAACTTTTCTCCAAACCACTCTACCCTGGATATGATCGTAAAAGTTGATTTGAAACTATTTGATTAGTTTAGATTATCAAATCTACAACCAACATTTATAATAACTTAAATTATTGTAAACAAATGAATAGATTACCAAGGTAAAATATAAAAAATGCACGAATGAAGTAAAGTAAGCACCGTCAAGTCAAAAGGTGTCAATCCTTTAGTCACTTTAGAGTTCTAACAACTAAACCAGGATATTGACTGCTTTCATCATATATCTGCCTTCAAACAAACAGCAAATAATAATTCTAAGCAGTGTCACTGAAAGATGTTTGTCATGGCTGTCCACTCAACCCATTCTTGTTAGACCTTGTCATTGACGTGCTTTTAGATACTAAACTTTCATCATTTGACTTTTCAGGAGTTAAGCTTTTACCTGGAGATTCGCTTGTTGAATAAGAATATGCAGATGACAGTTCTATTTGGTAAAGAGGCTAACAAAATGCATGTTCGCGATGCGATTCAGGATTGTCTTGCTTCGGCACCTGAACTAGTGATAGGGAGCGAAGTAGTTGGGCGTGTTGAACGCTTCACTTATTTTGGGGAGTCTCATCAGTGCTGATGGTCTGGTGACTGACGAAATCTTAGCACAGATAAACACGGCTCGACTGGCTTTTGCCAACTTGCGTCACTTTTGGTGTAGGCGAGATATTTGTTTGACGAATCTGCTGCGCAGCAGTTTTCTCCGTCCTACCATATGGATGCGAAACATGGCCAGTAAGAGTTGAGAATATTCGTAGGTTAGTGGTTTTCGACCATAAGTGTCTTAGAAGCATTGCTCGTTTATCTTGGGACTGTCGAGTACGTAATGCAGTTATTATGAAAAGGGTACTAGGTATGGATGTCAGGTCAGTAGATGGAGTAGTAAAACTTCATCAGTTGAGGTGGTTAGGACATGTGTTACGAATGCCGAACTACCGACTGCCTTGACGAGCTATGCTTTGAAGTGTAGGAGTAGGTTAGTAGAAACCTAGCGGTGGTGAAAACAAAACATGGCACAAATCCATCAAGCCACTGACAAGTGAACTGAGCCATGTTAGTACGTGTGGACTATCTGGTTGGGATCCTCAAGACAATCGTAACCGGTGGTTAAAGACCTTGAACAACATGGTTCAAAATCGTTTGCAATGGCGCAGGTGCATTCATTTGTTGTGTTCTCTCCAATTTTAATCTAACGAATTTCTCGTCAAATTTTTTCTCATTATTTAAAATTTATTTCACTGGATCATACTTCTTGAATAATGTCTCCGAATCCTAATCTTCTCCATTATCTCTAACACTTCTGCTACCTCAACTACTATGAGATTTGAATTGACAATTAGATCTTTCTGTGGTAATGTGTATGGCAACTTGAACTGATGTACGTACGTACGAAGTTCCACGTTGTAGCTAACCGAATAGTTAGATTTAGTAGCATTGTAAAAACATTATGAACAATAGATGTTCAATAACAAACTCAAAATGAATAAAATTTACCTATAACTAGGAATATTCCACATGCCCCGCCAGTGATATGGTTTCATACTTAAATAATTTATTGTTTTCATCCCTAACCAAATTCCAAGAAGATTGCAACCTAGAAAATCCATGATCCACTAAATTTTTTCGTTTTGTTAAGAGAAAAGTGAAAACGGAAATATGACTTATTTAAATAAAGGTGACACAAAAAGGAATCGTTAAATGAAAAAAATGCAATATTTCGTGGTACTTGGAGTAACAAGGAAAGTAGTTCAAGGGATCAGAATGTATAAAAACGGATTAAATTTATGGGTAAAAATTGGGTTTTATATTATAATATGTATTATACACATGTAGTTACGGATAGCGATTGTAAGACTATTTGAAAAAATTGTTTATTAAGGCGAGTAGAAGTAGCAATAGTAGCATATGTAAACGTAATTCAAAACTTACGATGCTGGTTATCAGACAAGGAATTGGAGAAATTGCGGATTCACTAGAAGATAAATATCTTACCGCTGGACTATTTCGACACTTATTTTTCGATTATGTAGCACGTGATGAATTACATTTACTCCGACAAATTTGTGCGTCATCAAATTGTCAAAAGTGGAATCATAATAATAATAATAATAATATATAATCGAAGCTATGTACTCAACGTAATTACGTAAATGAAACAGACATTATTCAAAACCCTATACTAGGAAAACTTACACTATATACTTTAATCATGTATAGGAGAGATGTCGATAAGAAAGTGTCGTATTGAACCTTCGTAAAAAATTACGTACACTGTTGAGCATCTGAAAAGCACTTAATTTTGTGGTGCATGATTTATATTCGATAAATGCAGAGAAAACACTCATTTTAAAAATAGTTAACCGATTTGAAATTTTGTGACTTGAAACAATCGATTTTTTTATTTGTATCTTTGACATAATCGTCATGAAAATATTCTATATTTTTCAAGGTTTAATAGGAAAGATTCAGATCATAGTACAACTAGAATAATTCTAAGGTCTGCTGTGTGTTAGACTCAAATACGAAATACAACTTGTGACCGAGATATGAATTCACCTAAGGACGCTCAATGACCCGGACTGTTAGCAGTTAAAAGATTTGAAAACTTGACCACTTAGTTGATTTAGACAATTAAATTCAGAGACCAGTTATAGTTCATAAGGTAATTTATATAGACTTCTCTCTTTAACGTCGGATGGCTGATCAGTTAAAAACAACTTACACAATAGTTTCCTAGTGTTTGTAAAGTATGGAGATGATTGTATGTCAGTCAAACTGTTGATGTTTGTCACATATTTCGGATGCCCAGAAGTTATTAGCAACATTGTTTTGTGCTGAAGTTTTATGTAGAATTTTTATAGGGAGAACCACATAACTAGGAAGTACAAATGCATTACTAACTAATACTATCAGAAAGAATTTCAATAAGACAAAACATCAATAATCATATTCGCTAGTTTATCAAGTGCAACCAAGGCATTTTGCATATATTTTATGAAAAATAATGCCAAGAAAAATTCAAATCACGTCAGTTTTGAAATATACACAACGGCGAAAGCATTGAATAATTAAATGTGTGCGAAGAAAGTTATTACGACGAACATCCATTAAATATTCATGGGAAGAGAATTTTACTGCATAAGGCACAAACCATTTGCTTTTTATCTCTTTTAACTAATATATAAATATATAAAGATAACTGATCAACAATATTTACAAACAAACCAGGTAACAGTTTTGCACTGCATCTGCTTGTCCATTTCTCTTTTGTTGACACATATGTAATAGATATTTTATTGACAAACATTTAGATATGTTAGATTCTCCAGCTTACAAGCATCGGTGGTTTCCTGTTAAGTTGTCAATTTTTAGACTGTTATGAGTGAACCGAGGTCAAAGTTTACAGGTCGTCATCTGAGTTGGCAAGGATATATATATATATATATATATATATATATATATATATATATAATATGATTTATAATTCCAAGACGGAACTTACATGATCCCACCAACATTCTGAGAAATTTGGTAACTGATGTTCCAAAGAGTATTCTAGTACTTCAAAAGCAAAACTCAAGACGTTGCATATCCAATAATCACGGAGAATTAACGTTTTAGCCCACCAGCCAACAAAATGGACTACTACGAAGCCATCCATTTTTGACTAAGAATTTAGAAAAAATTCTGCAATAAAATACCTTTAACCAAACTAATCGATAAATACCTAATAAACATCATATTACTGTAAAACCATACTTTCAGTAGCTAAAATACGTAGCGAGTATGAGATATTTTAGTCAGAAATGAGTTATAAGATGCGAACTGAACTGAAAATAAGCAATCAGGGACATTTTATATATGCAACTAAGTTCATTTTATTTGCAGTGATCGTCAATCTAATGGATTAAACAAATATTTCTAAAACAATAAAAACTAGTAGTAGTCGACCTACAAAAGTTATATTCTCAGTAGTAAATTGACAAGACTTCTTTTGTCTAATAAGCATATACATAAATAAAGGTTACATAATAATACATTGTTACTATTATATACATTACATATATGTTCAATCAATAATTAGTTTTCGCAAAATACTAAGAAAGTTTGCAAAATGTCATAAATTATAATACATATGAAAAAAATTATACTGTTAACAATGATTAATATCAGTAATTATACAAAGTCAACAAAATATCATTCGATGAACTTGGCAAGCCGTGTATAATCAAGAGAAAAAAGTAAGGATAGTTGCATTAAGGAAATAGTAAACGTCAGCTCACTATAACAGATAACCGGCAGAACTATAAGATTAAACCTAGGCGTATCCAAATACTAGTAAACTAAAAGCAATCATCATACAACTGAAAAGATATACGTTAAACGAAACTTATATAACTGCGTACAAATAACCATGAAAAAAAGCAATTTTTAGATGTATACGGTCTGAAAGCTCTAATAATAAAAAAGATTAGAATGAGACTAACAACAATCTAAAGATGAAACATCAATAATGAAATATACAACCTAGGAGAACACGAAATACAATTATCGAAAGCTTGTGGCTGAAGGTAGTCAACAGGAAATCCTCGACCTAGGTTTAGTGCATTCGGTATTATAATCTTGAGATAATGAATGCTTCCTGGCGCATTTGGTCTTGCGTTAACCATCTTTACAGTAAGACGTTACTACTGAGATATCCAGGCCGCGATTGATCTCCTGTAGGATTGAAACATATTTGGTCGATCACAAAGTAGTGGCCAAGATCATGAGTGCCAGGTTTTACATGGTGCTGATCGGATTCAAAAGATCAAGTTGCAATAAGACCAATATTCCGTGTAACTGGATATTGTTGAAATGTAAGGGACTGGTTGACGATTGTCAACAGGAAACCTTGGACCTAAACTTAGTGCTATTTGGCACTGGTCAACAAGACCCACCTATAATCTTAAGGAAACCAATACTCCCTGGATTACTCGATCTCGTGAAACCCAGCCCCAAACGCCACTTTAAATCTTAACATGGTGCACGCAATGTTCAGCCATAAAGATAATTAGTCACATTGCAAACTGACCAGTTGAATTCGATCATCACTATGAGTCACCTGACACACATGACGCCGGTCAATATTCGGCGATCGATCGATTGAAAGCTTATTAAGTATATCAACTTAGAATGGGTTACGAAGTTTATTTCGCAGTATTACGCTATGAAGGAATACATTTTATTTAGAAACAATTATCGTCTAATAATCATCCATTCAATGTTTGTAGGTATCTGAAGAATATGCGTGGTGTTTTATTCGTGTCAACTGCTCGTCTAGCTATTAGTCTTACTTTATTATTTAAAAAGTTTGATTGGAATTATGAACTGGTTAGTGTTAGATCACCAGTGAATACCTAGGAGCATTAGACGGCCGTTTTGTCCTCGTTAGCACTCCTCAGTACTGCACATTCCTGACCCTGTATGCGGATACCAAAACTGGAAACTTGAGTTTAGCGTGAGAACACTTAACCATTGAATCGACAAAATGTTATTTGCTTACATTAATAAGTGGAATTCATACACAGAAAGACGTTATTCACAATTATTGAACGAGCTTACTCTTTCACAAATTATGGAGTAAGAGTAGCATTCATTACATTTAAACATGTGACTACTTCATTATCTTTGATAAATTTCTGATAACAACAAATATTTAACAATCCAAATGTTAACTCTAATCAGATACAGAAAAATAATAACATGGAATAGGCAAAATTGTATAGTGGTACAAAATGATGATAAAAAAATTACAGCAATAAAGAATATAAAGCCAACAAAATCTATTACAAAAAAAACCGGCAGGAAAATATTGAAAAGCCACTAAAGATAGCAAATTAAGAGTATCAGTATCATTCTTTACGTTCACACCAGAAGAACCACTAATATTCTCTCAGAAATAATTTATAGTGTTAAAGCACATAATTTTATAATTTACTGACTTAGAACGTTGCTGCCTTGACGTGGTGGTCGGGCTTGCCTATCGTGATGACCCAACCGAGCTAGATTGGCTGGAAAATATATTCCTGAAGGTTCTACCAGGCCAGGCAGGTCGATTGGAGAACGATGAGACTGAAAGCAACTGCTCAAAGTCTGAGGGCGAAATCGTACTGCTGACTGCAGAAGGGTGTGACGCAGTAAGGTGTTTCCCTAAGACAACCAACATCTGCTGCGATGTTGCCTTCTCACAAGAACGGAAAGGCTTAGAAAAGGTCGACCCTGAAAATGTCACACCTCACCCTACCTCACGGATTTCCGTCTCCGGCGGCAAGTGCTGCCCACTAAGGGCTTTGAAAGAGCGGAACTAATACTCAAAAAACCTTTCATAAAAATGCCGTGCGTGAACGGCCTAAAGCAGTTGTCCCTTGGACTCTTCGGTCACGCTTCCAGGTCTCCAAGACCAACACTAACGCAATTTCTACTACAAGTTCCTCGAAAAACAACGTTCCACGGTGTGGGCAGCCGGGAAGTGACAACCGCCCTCCTAAACGTAACAGCACGCGAGACCAAATTGGTCAAAATCAAATCCTTCCTACACCCCGTAATATCTCTCTTATCTCCACGACTAACTCTTCTCACATTCCTTTATCACACTGCACCGCTGATGCAAACGATGAGCGTTCGCGAAACTTTATTCCTGGTCTCCAGAAACCCCGTTCTAGACTGTATGTTGGAGCTTTTATTGTACGGACATTGTGTCAAATAGAGCAACAGGCATCATTAACTAGGACTTTAGAATTCCGCTCAATCGATGTGTGCTGCGTCTCGGAAACGCGCATACAGGATCCGAGTAGGGTCATTCACTTGACCTAACCATGTCAAGATAAAGAAGCAACTCGATTTACCCTCCGTGTATCCGGTAGCCCTGATGCTGCTTCCAGGGGCCTCGTTGGTGTAGGTATAGCATTGAGTCGTAGGGCAGAACAATCTCTCCTAGACTGGAACCCTGTAGATAGTCGCTTGTGCGCCGTCCGACTGAACGGGACAGTAAGGATTCGGAAAGATAGGGACACCCGTCGATGACTCTTCGTCGTATCTGTCTATGCCCCCACTGACTGCAGTTCAGACGATGTGAAAGATGAGACCTACAGAAAGCTCTCGGACCTCCTCCAAAAAGTTAAGCGCTCTGATATAGTCATAATGGCTGGTGACTTTAATGCACAAGTAAGTAGACTAAGTGCAAAGGAAAGACACCTAGGTGGATGTTATGGTGTCGCGGCTCAGAGAACAGACAATGGCGACCGTCTGTGGCAACTGTGCCCAGATAACTGCCTATTTCTAGCAAATACTAATTTTAAGCATAAGGAAAAACATCTTTTGACCTGGCGACCCCCGAAGTCGTCTCAACGTTGGACGCAACTAGATCACATCGCCATCAGCCACCGATGGAGGGGTTCGATAGAGGACTGTCGCTCGTTTTGGGGCACATGTTTAGATTCAGATCATGCCCTAGTGCGAGAGCGTATTTGTTTGAAGCTTACTGGGTGTAGGAAAGACACCGTAAGGAAGCCTCTTAGGGTTTTACTTAATGATAATCAAGCTAAGAAAATATTTCAGCAGGAACTAGAAAGACAGTTAGGCGACCATTTAAGCGATTACCATCCGGAGTCAGGTTGGAATGATATCAAAAAGGCTGTGGAAACAGCAGTGACATCTGCTAGCAAGGTAAACTATAAGGCTAGGATGAAGCCGTGGATTTAAGTCGCATCCACCGCACTGATGGTTGCTCGTAAACTCATCCCGCCTCGTTCCGAGTGCGATGAGGAGAGAAGCCAGATTAGGCGCAGGCTGATAAAAAGCCTACGCAATGATAGAGAACAGCAGTGGGGGGCAAAAGCGATGAAAAAGGCAGCGGCGATAGGCAACAGCAGCGAGTTGTTCCGCCTAACGAAGGAAACCGGTATTACAAATCCATCTGTTAGCGAAACTATCTGAGAAAAGGATGGGAATATTATTCATTCTCAGTCCAGGAGATTGAATCGATGGGTAGAATAATCTAGGGATCAGTTCAACCGGCCTTCAGAAACACTTCGGTTGCTCACAATATCCAGTCATCATAAATGGCACCTCGGTGTAAGTCCTCAGTCTTTATGAAGTTGAGTAAGCTATAGGAAATCTGGAGCGAGGGCGAGCTTCAGGGCCTGAAAGACTTACCCGAGATATTTAAGGACGGTGGCCTAGTTTTGGCAGTTAGATCGACTGAGATCTTCGGTAGAATCTGCGAACGAAGCGTAATCCCATCTGACTGATCTCAATCACTGATTGTCCCAATTTACAAGAAAGGAAAAAAGTACTCTTATGACAATCACAGAGGAATCAGTCTAACTAATATAGTATCTAAAATATTGGCCTTAATGATACTTCGACGCTAAACGAAAGATCGTGAAGAGGAGACTAGAGAAAACCAGGCTGGTTTTCGATTTGGACGTGGCTGTATAGACCACATTTTCACACTACGACAGGTCCTGGAACACAGACACATTTAGGCGTCCAACAATAGTTGTTTTCCTGGACCTTAAGGCGGCATATGAATCTATGGATCGTGAGATTCTGTGGCAGTGTCTGTCATTGAAAGGTGTACGAAAGAGGTACATTAAACTTATACAAGCTCTCTACTCAGGTGAGAGCCTATGGCGAACTGTCACCGGAATTCAGAACTTCAAGTGGTGTACGCCAGGGATGTTCACTATCTCCATTATGGTTCAACTTTGTCGTAGACATCCTTTTAGAGCTAATGTTATCCTCGCCAAATTTTGCAGCAGTAGACCTTCTACCAGGAAGATCGCATACTGACCTAGAATATGCCGATGACATAGTTCTATTCGGCGAAGACGCTGACAAAATGCAGAGTCTTCTGACCACCCTAAGCAACAATGCGAGCATGTTCAGGATGCGGTTCTTACCCTCGAAATGCAAAATATTGCTTCAAGACTGGGTTGCATCGGCATCCGAACTATTGATAGGGAGTGAAGTAGTCGAATGTGTCGACCGCTTCACTTATCGTGGGAGTCTCATTAATGCTGACGGCCTGGCGACTGACGAAATCTCAGCACGGATACAAAAGGCTCGACTGCCTTTTGCCGACCGGCGGCGAGATATCCGTTTGCTGACTAAAGGACGAGTGTACTACGCAGTAGTTCGCTCCGTTCTCTTATATGGATGCGAACCATGGCCGGTAAGAGTAGAAGATATTCGTAGGTTACTGGTTTTTGATCATACCTGTCTTCAAAGTATTGCTCGTATATCCTGGGACAACCAAGTGAGCAATGCTGTTATTAGGAAAGGAGTGCTAGGTAAGGATGGCAGATCAATAGATGAAATATTGAAGCTTCAGTTGAGGTGGTTGGGACATGTGTTGCGTATGCCCAACCACCGACTGCCTCGTTGAGCTATATTTTGCGGTGTAGGAATAGGTTGGAAGAAAGGTAGCGGCGGCCAGATCAAAACATGGCACAAATCCATAAAGTCACTGACGAGTGGACTGAGTCATGTCGGTAGGTGTCGACTACCTGGTTGGGGTCCGCGAGATGTTAGTAATCGATGGTTAGACACCCTGAATGACATGGCTCAAAACCGTTTGCAATGGCGCCGGTGTATTCATTCTTTGTGTTCTCTCAAAAACTAAACTTTTTATTTCTTTATCACTTTATCTTTATTTATCTTCGAACCTTAATCTCTCGGATTACTGCCAATACTTTTACTACCTCTACTTCTATTGGATTTGAATTGACAATAACATCTCTGTGCTAATGTGGTATGGCAACATGAACTGATTTACGTACGTACGAAGTTTTACGTCGCTACTGATTGATTGGTTGACTTAGAACGTTTATTATTTATGCGTATAAAATAACTGTCAAGATTTACACCATTTACATCGATCATGACAGTTTATGTGAATTAAGCTTTAATCAGAACAGGAGATTAACCTGAGTTTTACTTAAGTCTTTATCAAGAATTGAATTTATTGAGGATTGTTGGAGTGCAGTTGTGGGTACAGATCAGCAAATGATTTCATATAACCGACAGACGAATGTTAAAGTGACCAGTCATTATTATTGCTATTTACAGAAAGCGTGTGTATAAGTTAGTACTCGGTAATTGAGTTAGGTGCATACTGCTATTCGTATATTAATAAATACAACATAGATAGATAACATCAAAATGTAAATATGTTTGTAATTAAAATGAACTTTTTGAAATTAACTAAAAATTATATGATTTTTTAATTAAAAAACCCTAATAATTGACAATTCAGCTCAGTGTTAAATTGAAAATAATGTTTTGTGAATGGGGAGAATTTTTCTGGACCTTGAAAATACGCAAAGCATTATTTCAGTTTTGATCATAAGATTGGTACTGGTGATTTATTTTTCTGAATGTTATTTGCGTATCATTACTGAAGAAAACAGAAGTATTTATCTGGTGAAACAGAGAGAATCGAAAAACTCGTAAACACATTCAATTTCATACGACAACACTGACGCCCTGAACATTAACCAATTTTAAGTATTATTTATACCTGGCAAAATGTACTTTGAATTTTTATCATTAACCTATTGTATGTAATCAGTAGATAATTACTTAAGTACTATTCTAATTATAATCACATAATCATATTTATTTACGCTCATAAAGTAAAAATATAACTCGACTAACAAAGACTAAAAAGGGTGATTGTTTCAACAAATAAATGAAACTCAGTTATTCACTACATGCTTACGCACTCAGATTTGGGATACACTGTTCTATTGTTCAGATTGAAGAAGGTTTATAGGGGGTTAAAATCGGTAACCTATAAATGAATATTGAGTGCTTTAGCTATTATATTATCAATTGTTCAGTGACTTAGTAATATCAAAGGAAAAGTGAGAGACCTGTAATAACCATTTTACCACAATTAGCAAATAAATATTCATAATACACTGGCATACGCTACACTTTAGGGTTTAAAAAAAAGCCTGTCAACTTCACGATTCGTCTTCTTTTTATATACAAATACCTATTTTTCATGAAATGTCGACTCTTAATCCCGATAAAGTTAACAGTGATGCTGAACTTGTCCATACTAGTTGTCAGTTAAATTATAGCAAGGATTATCAAGTCATAGTATGTAGATCGATTTACGACGAGGATTTTCATACATGAGATTTGTGACATTAGGAAGAATTATGTTTTAGTTTTGTCAAGAGATTTAAATATTTTGAAAAGAAATGAAACTTCTGTTCTATCATGAAAATAAAAGGATCATCGGAAACTGGTACAAAACACGAGGACATACGGGGTCGAGTCCAAAGCTTCAACGTGGACAATAATTCAAAGAGATGCCTAACAAGAAATCAAAGCATTGCGCATTAATTATTTATTCCAGATAAGAAGTGCATTCAGTATTTGAATGAAACTTTGAACCCGACAATCATACATATTTTTCTAGTTTGCATTTTCCCGTGTGAAATGTTCATTTATTCACGATAGTATACGCCTCTACTATTACTAATACCACTACTACAAACATTACGAATAATACAAAAACATTACTAAGATAACTAACACCTAATAAATAAAGTTTCTTTGTCCAAATGACAGATTAATATGGATAAACAGCCAGAGATTATAAAAACAACGTGTAATAACAAAACGAAAGTTGCCACACATTAAAGACGGAAGAAACGATAGGATATAAGAAGGAACAAAACGTAAGTCCATAAAAAGGCGTACATTAATGGGAATATGACCGGTTTTGATTCACGGAAATTTCATAATTCAAAGCATTTCCGTAATAGAAATATTTACCTACAACAATGTGTGTGATTTATATACATGTGTCATTTTATGCAAAATAGGATGGCAACAGAGATAGAGTCAGTCAGCCAGTTACAACGTTACCGCCGGAGACAGAAATCCATGAGGTAAGGTAAGGTGTGAAATTTTTTAGGTTGGCCTTTTCTAAACCCTTCCTTCCTTAGGAGAAGGCAGCATTGCTGTTTGTCCGGGGGAAACACCTTACTGATGTCACATCTCTACAGTTAGCAGTGAGACCTCACCCTCAGACCTTTAGTTGCTGCTCTCAGTCTTACCGTTCTCTAATCGACCCGCTTGGCATAACAGAACGCATAGGAATATATGTTTCAGGCAATATAGCTCGGTTGGGTCATCACGATGGGCAAGCCCGACCACCACGTCAAAGTAGCAGCCACGGCCGGGCAATCAGAGATAGAAGTTAAGGCATACTGACATTTTCGCTCATACAGGTAAACGTGACGTACATTCCTTTTTCCTGTACTTAGTAAATATTAGTGTTTTTTCTATCAATGAAACCCTTAAAGCTAATGCAAGTGCATATTGATCTATTATTTTAATATTGATCTTATACATTTTTGTGCATAAAGAATCATAAAAAAGACTCGGATGAATGCGTGTGATCAGTCATAACAGATAATATGCATATACATACGTGAACAAACAAAAACGCGAACCCATAGGTTATAAAAAATTGGCAATAAAGATAACACGTTAAATACTGACGATGACATTGTGCCATGGATCATCTAGTCTGTCCCAATCATATATTCGACAATTTCCGCCATAATCTTTTTCTTCCAAAGGTTTACCAAGCTCTAAATCTAAGTAACGTAACCATTGACGAGCATCGTCTACACTCTATATAACAAAATCAATATGAAAACAGTATATTACAATGAAATCCAGAACACGAAACAAAAGTCAAAATTACAATAGAAATCAAGCAATTAAATGAATGAAACATGTTAATAGGGCGTGTACATGAAAGCAATACAAACATACTTAAGGAATGATAACCCAAGAGTAGTAAGAACTCATGATATTATAAATTAAACGTAACATATATATACCGAAATATTTCGTTGGTCGTTAAACAACATAAAGTTAGACCACATCGCTATCATTCACCGATGGATAGGCACATGTTTAGATTCACATCATGCTCTAGTACTAGTAAGTACCTGTTTGCGTCTCACTAGACGTAGGAAGGACACTACAATGAAACCTCTTAGGGTTCCACTTAACAGCAAAAATAATGTACGTACGTACGAAGTCGGTCAGTCAGTTGCAACGTAGAACTTCGTACGTATGTACACAAGTTCAGGTTGCAATACCACATTAGCACAGAGACGCAAATGTCAAATCAAATCCCATAGTGATAGAGATAGTAGAGGTATTAATGGTAATGAAGAAGACTAGAGTTCGAAGATATTATTCAAGAAGTATAATTCATTGAGATAAGGTTAGAAAGACAAAGGTAGAGGTGCTGACGAATCCAGAAGATTAGGATTTGAGAGAGCTCAACGAATGGATGCACTTGCGTCATTGCAAACGATTTTGAGCCATGTCGTTCAAGGTCTTTAACCATTCGTAACATTCGTCTCGCGGACCCCAACCAGGTAGCCTACATCTACCAACATGACTCAGTCCACTTGTCAGTGACTTCATAGATTTGTGCCATGTTTTGGTCTGGCTGTGGCTACCTTTCTTCCAACCTACTCCTACATCAAAGAACATAGCTCATCGAGGCAGTCGGTGGTTAGACATACGTAACACATGTCCCAACCACCTCAACTGATGAAGTTTCACCACTTCGTCTATTGATTTGCCATCCCTACCTAGAACTCGTTTCCTAACGACAGCATTGCTTATATGGTTGTCCCAGGATACACGAGCAGTGCTTCGGAGACACCGATGATCGAAGACTAGTAACCTACGGAAGTCCTTTACTCTTAACGCCCATGTTTCGCGTCCGTACAGTAGGACGGAGCGAACTGCTTCGCAGTACACCCGTCCTTTGAATAGCGAACGGATATCACGCCTACGCCATAAGTGACGCAGGTTGGCAAAAGCCAATCGAGCCTTCTGTATCCGTGCTGAGATTTCGTCAGTCGCCAGACCATCAGCACTGATGAGACTCCCACGATAAGTGAAGCGGTCGACACATTCGACTACTTCACTCCCTATCAATAGTTCGGATGCCGATGCAACCCAGTCTTGAAGCAATATTTTGCATTTCGAGGATGAGAATCGCATCCTGAACATGCTCGCATTGTTGCTTAGGGTGGTCAGAAGACTCTGCATTTTGTCAGCGTCTTCGCCGAATAGAACTATGTCATCGGCATATTCTAGGTCAGTAAGCGACTTTCCTGGTCAACCCCTGAAAAATCTGACGAGCTTAACGTTAACTCTAAGAGGATATGTACGTACGAAGTTCTACGTTCTAGCTGACTGACTGAGGTTTTTGGCTAGTGTACTTTTATTGGTATCAAATGAAATGAACGACTTCGGGTCAAGCAGTACTTTTTTTATCCCAAAAGCAGTAAAGCTTATGATTTCGAAACATTTAAAATCATGAAACCTTGAGTTTATATTTTAAAATAGTTCCAGATTGTTGAAAACGAAATTTCATAAGTGTAGGTCTTCTAAATGTGAATCAATAAGTCATCAAGAGGTTTTGATATATCTAGGAAGAAGGTAATCCTGTCAAAGGATTAATATATTTGTGCCAACAATATGTAGCAAACAATGATAGAGCTGAATCTTTTGTTAACTGACAGCATGGTAATTTTAAAACAGATGGTACATTAATGACTGTAGGACTCCAAAGAGTAGAAGCCTTTAAAAATCTTGGTTGCATTTTTGGATTATGTAATAGGGAGCCAATGTTCGAAATATATTTAAGTAAAAGTTTCACACATAGACGTTATGATCAGAGTTAAAAAATGATACAATTTAGAATGGCTAGAAACTAGCCAAGAAGTCTGCATCTGAAAAGATGTCTGAGACAAACAATGGTTTCGCAGATCTGTCGTGTTTGCTATTAGAATTGTTGGAACACAATCAGTGATACGAAGGGTAACACGCATATTCATAGTCAACACAAATTATTGATTTTGTGGGATGGGGTACTCGCCGGTTGCCCGAACCGAAGCAGCTCGTTCTCTTAGGGTACTACACTCCGAGCTTCTGAACCAAAAGTATAATCCACAAAGCAGCAAAGCAACGTAGGCATGCAGTCCCACGGTAGCCAGTGACCAACAAGAGGTTTAGCCGCCATTTGTTCCATTAATATCCTGAAGCTTATGCGCAACAATGGTTTGGAGTCAGGATATTCCAACTTTTCTAGATGGATCTTTTATACCCACTAACTCAGTTAGAGCCGGATAAGTACGTTAACCTCACACACGCTCTTTACTCGAACACCACTGGTCGAAAGAGAGTTTATGGAAAACTGTCATCTGAATTCATTACTACTAGTGGTTTCTGTCAGGGTAGTCCACTCTCTCCATTCTTGTTTAACTTCGTCATAGACTTGCTTTTAGAAATAACATTATCCTCGTCTGACTTTTCAGGGGTGGACTCGATTATTGACTTAGGATATGCGGATGACATAATTCTATTTTGTGAAGACGCTGACAAGACGCAGTCTTATGACTACTCTAGGCAACAATGAAAGCATGTTTGGGATGTGATTCTCCCCCTCCAAATACAAATTTTAGCCTCGGGATTGGCTTGCATCGGCAACTAAACTAGTAATAGGAAGTGAAGTAGTTGAGCGTGTTGACCGCTTCACGAAAGTACGAGGTGGGTTTCTACTATTCGATTATAGGTGTCTTCGTATTATTGCTCGTATATCCTGGAACAACCGAGTAAGTTATGCATTTGTTATGACAAGGGTACTAAGTAGGGATGGCAGATCAGTAGATGGAGTACTGAATCTTCATCAGTTGAGGCAGTTAGGATACGTGTTACGGAAACCCAACTACCGACTGCTTCTACGAGCTATGTTTTGCGGAGTAGGAGTAGACTGAAAGAACCCTATCGGTGGTGAAAAAAAACACGGCACAAATCCATGAAGTCACTGACAAGTGAACTGAGCCATGTTGGTAGATATAGGCTACCTGGTTGGGGTCCGCGAGACGAAAGTCACCAATGGTTAAAGACCTTGAACAACATGGTTCAAAATCGTTTGCAATGGTGCAGGTGCATTCATTCGTTATGTTCTCTCCAATTTTAATCTTCCGAATTTCTCGTCAAATTTTTTCTCATTATTTAAAATTTATTTCACTGGATTATATTTCTTGAATAATGTCAGCGAACCCTAATATTCCCCATTATCTCTAATACTTCCGCCACCTCAACTACTATGAGATTTGGGTTGACAATTAGATTTTTCTGTGGTAATGTGATATGGCAACTTGAACTGATGTACATACGTACGAAATTCTACGTTGTAGCTGGCTGACTGCAGCTATGCATAAATCATTTGGTATTCACACCAACCATGATCTACCTTTCATGGATACATGATCCAACACACTAAGTACGTTTTTTTACTGTTGTTGCCTATATTTTTCAGCTGCACAATTTTAAAGAGTGGGTTGATCAGCTTTTGGTTCTGTTGATCAGTTTTACGTTGAAAAATTGCTTCCTATTATTCACAGATCGTTATCAATGAATATATATTTTATAGTGTATACTTGATCTGATCTCTTTTTTAAAAAAATAATACTTTTTGATGTAATGGTTCGAGATTTCATAGAATAATTTATGCTTTGACAGAGTGATCAGTGAGAGACCTCAAACCTTTTGCCTTGTAATTAATTTCACTTTAGAGTTATTACGCAATATTCAACAGTTTATGTGTTTATAATCTACTAAAAAAGAATCTGTAATAGGTAAATCATCGTCTGTTCATATTTATTCATTGTGCTTTGATGAATATCATCTCTTGAATGTCGGCAAACAGTAGTTTCAGTGTATTTTTGATGATAAGAGTATAACTGTTGAATGAATAACTCATCGTTTTAGCATACAGTGAGAAACTAACCTCACAATAAAAGTTAACCAATCAACTGAGGGATGAAAACAAATAGGGATCTGCATAAGTTCTAACATTTGTATAAGCTTAGTACCTAATACGTTGATTGCTTGAGGCGCCTCTTCCCGAAATACGATAAAAAGCACAGATCAAACATGTGCCTTGATGCTTGGGAAAAGAAGTTTATAATCTACGAATCGCAGCTTCATTATTAGATGTGTACGTAAAAACAAGCATAATGCAAATCATAAGTATTAGTAAACGGTTTGTGTTTGGAAATCGAGCAAAAAAAATGGGGAAACTGAAGTCAACTATAAACCACTCACCTGAAATAACAGGAAAACCAGTATAAGCTCGTATAAAATGCTAAGGCAGAGTACAAAACGCCAAAATGCTGAAAAAGAAATAGAAATTATATATTGAGAAACAATATAAAATTTGAATTTCATTAGCAAAACACATTTCACACACACAATAAAACATACGCAAGAGCCGACGCACGACTAAAAAATATATCCATCAATTTCATGGGCTGAGCAAAGATTTATAAAAACATGTTTGTCATAATTTCCGAGTGTTAAATTATTTTACGAACGTTCAGGTCAATGATAAAGTCCCAGAAAAAATTCTCTAACTGAAGAGGACACCATATATCAGATAGACAGCCAAAACGCAGAAGGTGGTACGTACGTACATCAGTTTAAGTTACTATACCACATTAGTACACAGAGATCGAGTTGTCAATTTAAATCCCATAGTGGTAGAGATGGTAGAAGTATTAGCAGTAATGGAGAAGATAAGGGTTCGAAGATATGATTCGAGAAGTAGAATTCAGTGAGATATCTTTAGAAAGAGAAAGACAGAGATGATGAGCAATTCAGGAGGTTAATATTTGAGAGATTAGAGAAAACCAGACGGGTTTCAGACCTGGACGTGGCTTTATAGACCACATCTTCACACCACGACAGGTCCTGGAACACAGACACATTTAGGCGTCCGATGATTGCCGTCTTTCTGGACCTTAAGGCGGCGTTTGACTCTAAGGATCGTGAGGTTCTGTGGCAGTGTCTATCATCAAAAGGTACATCAACGAAGTACATTATTCTTATACAAGCTCTCGACTCTCAAACTACTGGTCGGGTGAGAGCTTATGGTGAACCGTCTTCGGAATTCAGAACTTCAAGTGGTGTACGCCAAGGATGTCCACTATCTCCATTATTGTTTAACTTCGTCGCAGACATCCTTTTGGAGCTAATGTTATCCTCGCCAGATTTTCCAGCAGTAGACCTTCTACCAGGAGGATCGCATACTGACCTAGAATATGCCGATGACATAGTTCTATTCGGCGAAGACGCTGACAAAATGCAGAGTCTTCTGACCACCCTAAGCAACAATGCGAGCATGTTCAGGATGCGATTCTCATCCTCGAAATGCAAAATATTGCTTCAAGACTGGGTTGCATCGGCATCCGAACTATTGATAGGGAGTGAAGTAGTCGAATGTGTCGACCGCTTCACTTATCGTGGGAGTCTCATCAGTGCTGATGGTCTGGCGACTGACGAAATCTCAGCACGGATACAGAAGGCTCGATTGGCTTTTGCCAACCTGCGTCACTTATGGCGTAGGCGTGATATCCGTTCGCTATTCAAAGGACGGGTGTACTGCGAAGCAGTTCGCTCCGTCCTACTGTACGGACGCGAAACATGGGCGTTAAGAGTAAAGGACTTCCGTAGGTTACTAGTCTTCGATCATCGGTGTCTCCGAAGCACTGCTCGTGTATCCTGGGACAACCATATAAGCAATGCTGTCGTTAGGAAACGAGTTCTAGGTAGGGATGGCAAATCAATAGACGAAGTGGTGAAACTTCATCAGTTGAGGTGGTTGGGACATGTGTTACGTATGTCTAACCACCGACTGCCTCGATGAGCTATGTTCTTTGATGTAGGAGTAGGTTGGAAGAAAGGTAGCCACAGCCAGACCAAAACATGGCACAAATCTATGAAGTCACTGACAAGTGGACTGAGTCATGTTGGTAGATGTAGGCTACCTGGTTGGGGTCCGCGAGACGAATGTTACGAATGGTTAAAGACCTTGAACGACATGGCTCAAAATCGTTTGCAATGACGCAAGTGCATCCATTCGTTGAGCTCTCTCAAATCCTAATCTTCTGGATTCGTCAGCACCTCTACCTTTGTCTTTCTAACCTTATCTCAATGAATTATACTTCTTGAATAATATCTTCGAACTCTAGTCTTCTTCATTACCATTAATACCTCTACTATCTCTATCACTATGGGATTTGATTTGACATTTGCGTCTCTGTGCTAATGTGGTATTGCAACCTGAACTTGTGTACATACGTACGAAGTTCTACGTTGCAACTGACTGGATTAGTGTTGGTCTAAGCAACGTGTTAGCGTGAACGCAGAGCCCACTGACAACTGCTTGAGACCGGTCACTCACGGACTATTTATGAAGTTTTAGAGAATCAGCTCTACACTTCAAGTGGCCTTACTATAAGAGATGGAGATCCGTGGGGTGAGATGGTGTGACATTTTTAGGGTCGACCTTTTCTAAGCCCCCTTCCTTCCTTGTGAGAAGGTAGAATGGCTGCAGATGCTGTTTGTCTGATGGAAACACCTTACTGCTGCCACACCCCTCTACAGTAGGTAGTATGACTTCGCCATCAGACCTTTAGTTGCTACTTTTAATCTTGCTGTTCTCCAACCGACCTACTTGGTATGGTAGGATTTAATGGGATATATGTTGCAAACAATATAGGTCGATTGGGCCATAACGACTGGCAAGCCCGAACATCACATCAAGGAAGCAGCTATTGTCGGGACCCTATATGTACTATACACTCACTAACAGGCAGTAATGAGGCAGATTTATTTGTCAGACAACCCTGCCCGTAGATCATCTAGATGCGTTCAAAGACTATGCAACAAAACTCATCAACGCTTCGGAATTCTTGAATCAGGAATGTCTGTTGGCACTACTTCATCACTACGACGTTTAAAAAATGTTACACAAAAATTTATTAAAATTTATCTGAAATAAACTGAACACGAAAAGAAATAACTGCAATTATGTGGGAGTGGTACGATGTTGTTGTTATGAAACAGGCACTAGGTAAGGATGGCAAATCAATAGATGGAGTAATGAAGCTTCGCCAGTTCAGGTGGTTGGGACATGAGTGACGTGTGCATAACCACGAACTGCTTCGATGAGCTGTTTTGTGGTTTAGGATTTAGTTGCAAGAAAGCTAGGGGCGGCAAACCAAAACATGATGTAAATCAAAGCCACTGACAACCGGATGAAGTTATGTTGGTAAGTCTCGACTACCTGTTTTGGGGCTCGCGAGATGATAGTAATCGATGGTTAGCGATCCTGGATGACATGTCTCAAAACCGTTCACGATAGCGCAGGTACATTCATTCTTTATGTTTTCCAAATCCTAACCTTCAGAATTTCCCACCACTTTGACGTTTTTCTTTTCAAGTTTATTTCACTAGATTTTACTACTTGAATAATATCGTCGAATCCTAATCTCTTTGATCATTGCTGATACTTTTCTACCTATAATATTATGGGATTTGAATTGACAATTGCATCTGTGCTAATGTGGTATGGCAACTTGAATTAATGTACATACGTACAAAGTTTAAAATTTTGAGGATTCATAGGGATCCCTAGCCTTATCATGGCTCTACTTGCCTTCAAGTAAATCGCATTCCTGAAATACATTTTTAAGGACAGGAAAAATTCCCTTTACTTCACAGAAGTTACTAATGAAACACTTCTTTTGAAAGCCAAGGACCAGCCGACTAGTTAGGCCCTGTCCTACAAATATGACATGTCTGAAAATGTTTAACTCATACAGCTAAATATTCAACGCAATTACATCTTATAGATTACACGATGAAAAGCCAGTATTTTAACTTACCAGGGTGTGGTCGGAGAAACGGTCCATCTGGTGTGTGCAAAACCCCAAACAATAGAAATACCATTATAACCGCACCAATACCACTACAAAAAGAATCAACTTTTGAATTAACTTACCGCTTCATGTTGTATTCGGAAGAATAATTTCCGTTTTCTAGCAAAGCAACGTATAGGAGAATACATGCGAATACGAATAGGCACAACCCAGTATGAGCATTCCTTAGATACAAGAAACAATAACTAAACAAGCTAAATACCAGAAAAACGTGTTAGTTCCATCATCATAAAAGTCTTTCGTCCTATTTTTCACATCTTCCCAGTTGTATGAAGTTTGACGAGATGCTGAGTGGATATAAGTACTTTGAGAGCTGGTTTCTTTGCTATGCTTTTCCACACACTTGTTTCGAAGATCATCTGAACACTGCTTTTTCATATTATACGAAAGGTGGCCAAGGATGCAAGGTCATCAAACAAGCAAGTAAAGCATTAAAAGGATTCCAATATCTTTTTCACGAGCTAGTATAAACCAATTGATTTCTTCGCGCTCGATTCTTGTTCTTTCGGTACGGTTCCAGGTGTTCGGTAATGTCCAATGGATGGAGGTCTAGCCACTCGACTGTCTAATTCTAGTCAGTTGGCAGTTGGTTGTGAGTTTGTATGTCTCGGGATTTCAATGAAACGTTTGTTTCAGGGCAGTAGGGTTTCTGGATACTAGCAGCCGTCACATTACCAAACCGAAGATCAGTTAGTTGCAATGTGGAGAGTAATAAGGGTAATAAGGGTAAATTAAAATGATAATATGAGTAAAATTTCAGAACTGAATAATATATAGATGAATTTAGTTTATTAATAGGTAGTGAAGATTGTGAGAGAGGACCGAAGTGTAAGCAAGGGAGAGGAATAGGCGAGTTAGATTAATTAAGTGATCTGAGGAGATGGCAATGGTAACAACTAGCAGGTCTCAAGATATGCATCAGGCACAGCTTGTCCAAGAGGGAGATGATAGTCCGCATGTGAGTACGTGATTATCAAGTCTCTTCTTAAAGCAGTCCACTGAGGGGGCTGTAGCTACCTCGGCTGGGAGAGCATTCCAAGTTGCGACGACTCGCAATGAGAAAAAGTGTGCACGAACCTGAGTGTTTGCTCTTTGATCTGCAATCTTTTGAGGATTGCCTCGAGGGGAGTGGTGGTGATGCATCGGTAAGATGCTCACCTTGGGATGGTTGGGCGTGTTTAATATGGTGTACGCCATAATCAGGTCACCTCTGATTCTCCTGTAGCTCAGTGGGAATAATCCCAAGAGCTGGAGTCTATCTTCGTACGGTTTATTTTTCAACCCTATCACCCATTTCGTTGCTCGTTTCTGCACTCGATCCAAGAGATTTATGTCTGTTTTAAGCAGAGGGGGTGCGATGACATTGTGAACCTCCAAGTGTGGGCGCGCGTACGTCTTAAACAGGGTTAAAAATAATTTCGGGGTTATAGCACCAAGCTATCTTCGCATAAAGTGAAGAGTCGCATTTGCCTTGGCTGCATCCCCTACATAGTTCGGACTCGTGTGGAGGCTTTCTGTGGTTATTAAACCAAGATCGCACTCTGAGGAGACATTAGGGAGCGGACTTCCATTGAGAGTGTAGGTGGTTTGCGTCATATGAGGCAGGAAATGCATGACGTGGCACTTCGGTTGGTTGAGTTTTAAACCGTTTTTCACTGCCCATTTCTCAATGGATGTAAGGTCCTTTTGAAGCTCAGTCGAATCCTCTTCGCTTCTAATGGACCTCCAGATCTTCGCATCGTCTGCGTAGATCAGTGCCGGTGAGCTAACTAAGCTTAGCAGGTCGTTAATGAATATCAGGAAGAGGAGTGGGCCTAGGATGGTCCCCTGTGAAACTCCTGAAGTGGATACTCTCCAACTCGCGTGCACCCTGTTTACCTTGGTGCGAAACTTTCTATTCTCAAGGTAGTTTCTGAGCCAAGATACGAGTGGGTCAGTGAAGCCCATTTCCACAACCTTTCCGATTAGGCGTGCGTGGGGCACTGTGTCAAAGGCTTTTGCGAAGTCGAGAAATACTACGTGCACCGGTATTTTACGGTCCAAGCGGGATGTCCAACTGTCCCATGCGATGAGAAGATTAGATGCACACGACCTGCCTTTCCGAAACCCGTGTTGAGCTTCATGGAGTATTTTATTCTTATCCATGTACTCCCTCACTTATTCGTCCACTAGTCCTTCCACAACCTTTGATAATATAGGTAGTAGTTCGACTTGTCTTTAACAGGCTGAGTACTTTCTATCGCTTCCTTTGAAGACTGGATAGAGAGTAGCTTGTTTCCATTCCGCTGGGAATTGGTGTGACTCCAGTGAATGCCTGAACAGGTTGCATAACGATGAACAGAGGGCTTCAGCGCACTGTTGCAAGACTATAGGGCGGATGTTGTCACAACCTGGTGACTTACCTGGGCGTAAGGATTTTAGTTTCCTTAATACTAGGTCAGGAGTTATACGGATGTTCCCTAAGCCGTCAGCTGGCATTGGGTTGGTGTAATACTCTGAACATGTAGGCGCCTGGTTTAATTGATCAGAAAAATGGGTGTTGAAGATTTCGGCCATCTCTAGGTTGGTGAGGTCTTCTCCGTTAGGCCCTTTTAGGGGGCACAACCCTTGATTAGTAGGTTTTCTTTTGGACATGAACCTAAACAGATGTTTCGGGTTTGCCTCTATTCTGGCGGCTAGTATCGTCTGGAATTGTCTACTGTCGCTTCGAACTTTGGTATTGCATCTGTTTCTCAATGCCAAGTAAGAACTGCGATCGGAATCTTTCAAGGAGACCTTCCACTTGTGCCAGGCTTTCCTCTTCGCCTGTAGCAAGCGTTCCGTGCCGCGCCTAACCCAGGTTCTTCTGTTCTGGCGTTTTGGGTGTGACTGAGGTACGTTTCCTACGACGGCGCTTTGGATGATATCTCTCACTGCTTGCCAGTGACCATCTACTGTCAGCCTCCGCCACTCCCGTGGCCATGGGGCATGTAGGAGCACCTCTCTCATGCGTGTGTAGTTTGCCCTACTGTAGCAGAGGTAAGGCTCGTTATTGTCCGGTGTCAGCGTTTCGTTTGTGTCCATGTTAAACAGGACTGTGCCATGGTCACTACTACCTATTGGAGCGCGGATGTTAACATCCTCAACCAGGAGCTGGTCGTTCGTTAACAGATAATCTAGGTTTGAGGACTTCCCTTCCTTAGTCCACCTAGTGGCGCTGCGTACATGCTCAGTCATGCCAGAGCTTCTAATGGCTGTACCAAGTTGTCTCGTGATTTGAATGAAAACGTTCGTTTCAGGGCAGTGGGGTTTCTGTATACCAGCAGCTATAACATTACCTGGCCGGAGATCAGTTAGTTGCCTGGTGGGGAATAATAAGGATAAAATTCTGATGCTAATATTAATAAGATTTCAGAACTAAGTAAATCAGTAGATAATTTAGTTTATTAATTGGTAGTGAAGATTGTGGGAGAGGACCAAATTGTAAACAAGGGAGAGAAAACAGAGATAATAGTCAAGATCGATTAATTGAGTGGTCTGAGCAGATGGCAATGAAAACTAGCAGGTCACAAGATATGCATCAGGCACAGCTAGTCCAAGGGGGAGATGATAATCCGTATGTGAGTAAGTGATTAGCAAGTCTCTTCTTAAAGCTGTCCACTGAGGGGATTTATTAAGTACATTCAAAACTAGTGTGTGGGTGTGAAACACAATAATTCAACTAATTCTACAGGTTTTTATCTCGATGACAGGAAAATGCCTTAAAAATAATCTGTAACACTCGATAACGTGCATTAACTGTTCTCATAGCACGCGACAGCTGGAAAGCCTTCGGGCACGGAAAAATACACGTTCACATAATCATTTTTCACTTTGCGAAGGCATTCAAAACGGTACATCTCGTAGTACCTTTTGTAAAGTTTGAGAAAGATAACTTCACTAACTCAATTCTGTCCCGGCTCAGAAACTACCTTGAAAATAGAAAGTTTCGTAGCAAGGTAAATAGAGTGCACGTGAGCTGTCGAATCTCAACATCAGGAGTTCCTCAGAGGGCCATCTTAGGTTCACTCCTCTCCCTGATATTCATTAATGATCAGTTAGACAAAACTAGCTCAGCCATACTAATCTACGCAGACGATACAGAGATCTGTAGGTCAGTGAGAAGCGAAGACGATTCAACTGGGCTCCCAAAGGACCTTACATCTATTGAGGAGTGGGTAGTGGAGAACGGCTTAAAACTAAACCAGTCGAAATGTCACATTATGGACATTCTGCCTAACCTGACACAGAAAACTTACACCTTCAATGGAAGTCCGCACCATAATATCTCCTCAGAGCGCGATCTCGGTCCACTACCCACAGAAAGTATAGATGCCGGTTCAAAATACAAATGGCACTCAGTGAAGGCTATCGCACCTTGATGCCATCAGCCCAGAATTATTCTTGATGTTTTTTAAAACATACTCATGCCTACACCTTGAGGTTCTCAACGTCGTCACATCACCTCCCCTTATACAGACCTCAGTCCCTTGGATCGAGTGCGGAGACGAGCTACTAAATGCGTGATATGTTAGAGCATAAAAATCACGAAGATAGACTATAGCACTCGGGATTGTTCCCTCTGAGTTACAGGAGAATCAGAGGCGTCGAACAACCTATTGAGTACACCAAACGAATCTCAGAATATCATTCGAAATATGAGTCTCAGAAGTAGAAAGCGTATTAAAGCAACTGCATTATTACTAATTATTGGCCTCATCATTCAAAAATATACAGAAACAAACAAACATAGGTGGATCGAAGTCATGTGATGGAGAGCCAGTAGAAAAAAGCCATCCAGACTGTTAAAATTAAAATAAATTGTAGTAATATAGTTTTCAAACTAGGAACTATGGCAATAAGAATAACGGTTTCTGCTGTGTTTCATGATAGATAGTCCGAAAAGTAAAAGAGTAGTTAGAGTAAGTAGCTGGTTGCCTGTTCAGCCAACTTGGAGGCAATAGATGTTATAAACATCATATTAATCTTGATTAATGAAGATTAACTGTGGCGACAATTTCCCTGTTTTTATCATCTCATATAATAAGCCTTAGCTTAGCATTTGGTAGCGTCTATGCAGTTAGATCGACTGAGATCGTAAGTAGAATCTGGGAACTTGACATGATCCCGTCTGACTGGTCTCAATCACTGATTCTCTAAGTCTATAAGAAAGGACAATAGTCCTCTTGTGACAATCACAGCAATCCGTTTGACTAATATAGTATAGTATGCTTCCCTAGCTAATCTTCAATCGCCAAGCTAGAACTCGTGAAAAGCGACCTCAAGAAACTCCAAGCAGTCAAACTGCGTTTATTTCTACTCCATAGAGACGACTTTGGGACAGTCACAAAAATAGCACAGTAGCAAATCACAGCCAAGGATTGTCCTGGTGGGAAATGTGATCTCAAGGCCGACTGATCGGCCCGTGAAATAAATCCAAAATAGGGATATTTTTAAGCCGATTTGTGGGGATACGAAATCCTCTACAAAATGCAAGGTGTACACTATCTGGTTGGGATGCGCAGTACAGTGAATTTTTGCTGACCTTATTTTCTCTTTTTGAAATTGATTCTTCTTGGTTATACATCTCGAATGATGTATTTGTTCATTAATCTTTTTTATTACTGCAAATACTTCTGCTACATCTACTATGTGGGATTTGAATTGGGAATTCCATCCCTGTGGTATTGTAATATATCAACTCAAACTGATGTACGTACGTACCTAGTTTTACGTTGTAACAGACTTTCTGATATGTACACTTTGTAGCTAACTGATTATTTTAAGTAGTTTTTCGAGAATGCAAACCAAAAATGTAATTGATCATTCGTAGGCTGAAGTTATCTCTGAGAAATTACCAGGTTTAGGAAAGAATTATTTGTACGTATTAAATGAACATGGACTCCACAGCCTTTCTGATATATCCTCAGCCTACGCTTATTTAACTTGTTCCGATCAAAGCAAACTATTCAGGGCCTGAAGGATCGAGATGCACCGTTTGGACTTATTCTATGCTTCAAAACAATAAGAAGTGTGAAAATTTTCAAAAAAATATCAGACGACGGCGTGGGTTAAAATGCTGCTTAAAAGCACACCATTAAGAGTTACTTAACCGGCAAACATCGATTAAATGTTCGTTGGCGGTTTATCATGATTGTTCGGATCCTGTTAAAATTGGCTTTAAAAAGCGCTAATAGGACTACTTTAACTGCTCTAAATCCTAGATTTCGTACTTCCTTTTCAAACAACGATGAGATAGAACAAGTGTACAACAATCAACAACGAAAACTAATAAACAGTGAGACGTTCCACTAAGTATGCTTGAAGCTATTACGAGTTTACCATATTCGATAAACGCGAACGAGACTTTTACCAGCGTCCAGGTAGGCTACCTTGAATCCCCAAAGCGAGTAAAAAGAGCTCTGTGAGTGTAGAAAGTATATTCTACAAACACCCAGCAATCACAGTACAATCAAGTATACAACTCTCGTTTATTTATACAACATAGACACGTCCTTGAGACAGTTAAGAAAATAGCACACTAGAATACACAGCAGCCAATCACAGCCATGGATTTTCCTGGTGGGAATTGAAATCTCAAGGTCAACTGATCGGCCCATGCTCGCAAACGTGAAAACCAAAATAAGGCATTTATCAAGCGAATTTTGGGGATTTAACATCCCAAACAAAAATACAAAGAGGTCTCGATATATTTGGATCAATGAAAGAAATATAATCCCAAGTTATTTATTTATTAAAATTCAATTTCATATCAAGCAGAAAAGTTACACCTTATAAAAAAGCACTGAATAAAATTTTAAAATTAGATCTTTGTAAGTCAAGGTATAAAAGGTTATTCCAAAAAAATGAAAAAAATTAAGCGTTACGAAGTTCCAGAGACCGTAAAACATAATTATATAGGGGAATGTAAAAATGAATGTGCAAATATAATTGAATGATCCAGAGTCTAGTATGTTTTTCTAAAAACAGAAAATTGGTAAGAATTGAAAAGTTTAAAAATGGTTTTTATACAAAAATTTATCTACAAGTCAAAATTATGTTATCAAAAAAACGGTATCAAATGAAAACGTCAGTCATTTTTCTTGAAATACTTTGTGATTGGATTGTGTGCGGAAGGACCCATTGTTGTCATTCGTCGACGTCGAGAATTCTGTTTTTAAAAAGAAGAAACAATAAGTTTACAAACGATAAATTTATAGATAAACTGCAAGAATGATTTAACTTGGATTATATTCATTCATGGAAAATAAAATTTTGGTAATGACGCCCCTTAAATGCTGTGGTATAATCGAAGGTTAAATTTTATTACGTCACTGAGATGTACCTTAAGCAGCGATAATGTTTGTATTAGAAAGGAGTAAATGAATTTACGCTAAATATGAAGGATAAATACAGTAATTTCATAGTTTTTTGTGTGGATTGAATGAGTATAAGTGAATGATGGAGTCGGCACGTTGATGTTGATCTTACAAAAATGTAGCGAACGATTCTCGTAATAGAAACAAGTTGAGAAGTGAATTTGGTACACAAAAATATATTTATAAAATACAATGTTTTGAAATACTTACAGTCACTGGAACAATGGGAGAACTGTTGGGAGAGACATACGATTGTGAGGTAGATGGAAATGCAGTTAACCGACGTCTTTTTTCTCTGACACGATTTATACTATTAGGTAAATTCATTCTATCAGAATTGACGAGGAGGGTTGGACTTGAACCAGGAGAAACATCGAATACGTCTGATATTTTACGTTTTCTTGATTCTGTTATAGATAATTCATCCTTTTGCTGAAATATGGGAAAAAATGTAACTAAAATTTTTCCACAGTATAATAAAAGCATTTTGAAAACCAGCAATGCTGATAAAAAAAGCTGTTTAAGTAAATAAATTTTGAACTTCAGTTAATTAGCTCAATAGATTTACATGATTACTCACGTGTCTAAAATTTTACTGAAACGATAACCTAGTGCTCATGAACGCAAAATATATGATTCAACCAGGTAGGTTACATGTTGTTAACAGTCTCCATTCGTGCAAGGATTAATCACTATCTGTTTTCACTATAAGATAATCAGAACAACACATATAAGCGAACAATATTGTTTTCGATTAGATAGTCATTAGGCTTTACTCTGATATACGTGGATATTGATATGAAAATGTTAAACCAATCAAGGCAATTTGAGTTGATAACCACAATGAAATGAAATAGATTACGTCACTACACATAATAGGCAAAAGTAGAAATTTATAGTAGGAAGACAGGTGTACTGATAGCAGTAAGAAAAATAAAATAAAATCAATAGACTTAAAATAATCATTACAAAGCATCAAACCATTACGTAATAAGAACTGTTTATATAATTAGATTGTGAAGAATATAAATGGAGAGAGGCAGAAAATTACCAACAAATTACAGGATGTGAAAATAACGCTAAAAATGACAAAACAAAATTTGAAAAAGTCATATCCGGCTATGGAAGAGATAGGGGTGTCACGAAATTCTTCTGAACACATAAATTGGGGTTGAATGCATGAATTCCTATGGCTTCTTCTGTGTGTAGGAGACGGGATCGAACTCCGTTGGGAAATGATGGAGGTATACGACAGATCACCCGAAAAGATCTAGTCTTACCTACAATATGATCACTACCAACCAGATGTGCTAAGATAGAACTGCATATTGTTTTTAACTGGCCCTTCATAAACCATGCTGGGAGATGTTCACTCATTCGTTGGTAAGATAATCACGCACTGCACAAAACTGCTCTCGATATGGTTCCATAGTTTATATACATTTTTTTCCAATCTTCTTGTTGAGTTAGAATTCTATATAACATCCAAAAGATTGTTAAATCACAACATACCACTAACTGTCTTGTAATAACTACAGTGAGTTATCAAAGTCAACAAAGTATCAATTATCTTTAAAAGCATAAAAATAACTATTCTCATATTATATAAGTCGTACTGGAATATAATAGTGACAATAATGAGTCACCTTCTCCGAATTAATGATTTAACAATGCAAAAACACAAAGTATTGCAATTAAAACTTGCATTCGCAAAATTAAAATAATTTGAAATTCTTATGATTATTTACCCGATTTTCATTGTAAAAATCTACCAATCTAAACTTTAATTCCATTCCCGAATGTAACAATGATAAATACCAAAAGAAAATTTAATTGCAATTTATACAAATAAAGTGATGTATAAGTCACAAATATTTTTAACAATTATTTACCAGCTGTGACGGTGGAGTATTAAAAATAGATTGATTTAAAGATAATGGTAATCTTTTTGATGGTGTAGCCGGAGAATTCGGATCATATGTAGGTCTGTCTACAGAACAACGAATAATTGGCGATTGATTTAGCACTCGTCCATCAACACAATCCAAAGGAAGACCTTGAGATGGAATTGAGCGTAGCCAATGGTCTGGATTAATGTTTTCAGAATCTTCTGATACCAGAACGTGCGTGTAAATGAAAAAACAATATACACAATTTTACCTCTTCTGTAAACAAAAGTATATAAATAATAATACATGATAGACAGATCCCAGAAATTACTTTATAACTATTTCTATCCGAGAACTAGTGTTTTATAAACTTTTGTAGGTGAATTATTTCTTTGACTCCGCCTGAAGTCCTTCCAGGGTTAATGCCAGTCCGAAGCTCAGATAAGGAAGGGTTGGACATGGAGTTAGCGACCACAACCCGTAGAAAACCAAATTGCTAAAAAAACCCTAACCAGAAAACATAATTCAAACCGTTTAAACTCTACCCTGAGTTGGAATTTCTTCGTTAACAAGAGATATAATGTCTCATGATAAAAGTCGGATTTCTTCGAAATTCATGATGCCGACGGCCCTTCTGACAACTAGAGCAACCATCAATGTAGGTAAATGGAATGTTTGTACATTATAGGAGACCAGAAGAACTATTCAAGTTGCTGCGGAAGTGAAAAGATACAACCTGGTGGTACTTAGAATCAGTGAAACGCATTGGATACAGGTTCGAAAACAAATACTAGCTTCAGAGGAGCTGCTGTTATACTCCGGACATGAAGAAGAAGATGCCTTACACACACTAGGAGTTGCACTGTTGTCCAGAGAAGCACAAAAAGCACTGATAAGATGGGAATCTCATGGAAACAGTATCATCAAAGCATCCTTCAAAACAACAAAAGAGGGCATCACTATGAACATCATCCAATGATACGCACCTAACAACGACTACAATGAAGACGTTAAACATCAATTCTACGAAAGGCTGCAGTCAATAGTCGAGAAATGCCCACCAAAGGACTTGATCATTCTAATGGGAGACCTAACTGCCAAGGTTGGAATGGAAAACACTGGATATGAAGACATCATGGGATGACATGGACTAGGAGATAGGAACGAAGACGGTGAGAGATTTGCAAACCTGTGTGCCTTCAACAGACTGGTCATCTGTGGCACAATTTTCGCGCACAAACGCATACACAAAGCTACATGGATTGCACCGGATCACACTACTCAGAACGAAATCGATCATATCTGCATCAACAAAAAGTTCAGAAGGAACATGGAGGACGTGAGAACCAAGAGAGAAGCTGACATAGCCTCAGATCACCACTTGGTAGTGGGCAAGATGAAACTGAAACTCAAGATGCCCTGAAAAACTGGTTGAACAACACCACAAAAGTTAAGTGGGGCTACTGTTCGGAATACTAGAAAACCCAAGATATTCGAGATGGCCCTCAAAAATAAGTTCCAAGCCTTTCACGATCTGTTTGATGAAGAGAAGGCTACCATGATGAACATCTAGAAATAGATCAGGAAAGCAATAAATTCTACATGTCATGAGGTTCTGGGACACAAGAAGCACCATTGCAGGGAATAGATTTAAGTTACAAAACAGGAAGAAAATGAAGGTAGTAATCAATATCAGCCAAACAAGGGCCAAAGCACAAGCTGAATACACAGAAGAAGGTGGTCAACATCATACAAAGTTCTTATGATGGATTAAACATGCATGGAGGGCAGCTGGCAGACTCACTCAAAGTGAAGACCGATGTCACACAAGGTTGCTTACTCTCGCCTTTCCTCTTCCTTCTGGTGGTAGACTGGATGATGAAGAGGTCAACATGTGAGGGAAGTACGGGACACAGTGGAAAGCTCAAGTGCAATGGACAATCTGGACTTCGCAGATGATCTAGCTTTTCTATCGCACACGCAACAGAAAATGCAGAAGACGACCAGTGTAGCAGTAGTGTCTCAACATAAACAAACGAAAAATCAAGACCCTCCAATATAGCACAGCATGCACCAACCAAATCACACTTAACAGAGACGCTTTGGAGGATGTAGTAGCCTTTACGTATGTGGGCAGCATTATCGACAAGCAAGGTGGATCTGAAGGTATGGATAGGCGAAGCAATGGCAGCATTTCTACAATCGAAGAACATCTGGAACCCAAAACAAATATCGACAAACACCAAAGTCAGAATATTCAATATCAATGTCAAGATAGTTCTACTCTATGAGGTGGAAACTTGGCGAACCACGAAAGCCATCATCCACAAGATACAGGTGTTTATTAACAGTTATCTACGCAGGATCTGTTGGCCATACACCATCAGCAAAAACTTTCTGTGCCAAAGAACAAACCAAATCCCAGTAGAGGAAGAAATTATAAAGATTCACTGGAAGTGGATAGGACACACATTGCGGAAACCACCAAAGTCCTCAAGGCCAAAGAAGAATAGAAAGACCAAAGAACACATTACATCAAGAACTGGGAGTAGACATCATAAGAATGAACCCCAATTCGATAGAACTGGAAAAGAAGGTCCACAACAGAGTCGGTTGGGGAATGCTGGTCGGCAGCCTATGCTCTATTAGGTGTAACAGGCTTAATTAAGCAACTTATATTTCTTCCAAGATATCAATTATTTCTTGAATTTTATTTAAGATAAACACTTATCCTTATAGCTTATTCATATTTTGATTTGGTTATATAAATCTTACAAGTATTATTGTGCATAAATATTTGTACTACTAACCGAATCTTATGAAACTTCCAGAAAACAATTAACTTTACTGTTATATAGATTACTAGTTTTGACAAGATAATTTGATTCAGTACAAATTATAAATAATGTCTTTGATAGTACCAACAAAAAAGGTGATAAATTAGTGTTATCTATGTATTTCCACAATATTCTTTGCAAAAGTAATTAACTTAATGATAACATTGCGAAAACTTCTCAAAATCTGCAACAAACGGAACAATGCATATATAAAATTTATTCAGTCAGTCAGTCAGATGAAACGTAGAACTTCGTACGTAAGTACATCAGTTCATGTTGCCATACCACATCAGCACAGAGATGTAATTGTCAATTCAAATCCAATAGTAGAACAGGTAGTAAAGGTATTAGAAGTAATCGGAGAGGTTAGGATTAGAAGATATTATTCAAGAAGTATGATTCAGTGAGAAAAGTTTAGAAAGTCAAAAGTAGAGGGGTTGAAGAATCCAGAAGATTAGGATTTGAGAGAACACAAAGAACAAATGCACCGGCGCCATTGCAAACGGTTTTGAGCCATGTCATTTAAGGTCTCTAATCATCGATTACTATCATCTCGCGGACCCCAACCAGGTAGTCGACAACTACCGACACGACTCAGTCCACTTGTCAATGATTTCATGGATTTCTGCCATGTTTTGGTTTGCCCGCCCCTAGATTTCTTCCAACCTACTCCTACACTACAAAACAAAGTTCCTCGAGGCAGATATTATTTATTAAGATAGCATTTTCCATCAAAAGGTGAAAAATGAAAACTTATTAACAAAGTAGACCTACCCATATAAAGTGGATGAATAAGCAACTGTTCCGGTGTTATAGGAGAATTAGTTTTTGTTGGAGTATTAATAAATGGGCTATGGTTCGCAGAGTTCAAAGAATAACAACCTAAAGGTGGTGTACTAGGCGCAGAATGTACATTTTGAAATCCTGTTGAAAATCCTGAAAATCGTTGTACAACACCACCCAAGGTTTCGGTAAGTGTTGCTAAGTTTGGTAACCGTTTTGTTGGTTGATGTGGATTTGAAACTAAGCCATTCGCGCTTAAATTGTTCGAGAGTGAAGGTATTGTAACTGAAGATTTGTTAGTTGTTGATGTGGAAATGGATGAATTAACTGGAGGAGAAACTGTTTCAAGAAAATGTCGGATATTTGATTGTCGTCGACGAGCTGAAGTCATGGGTGATCGAGAATTGAAATTGGGTAGAGAAAGACTCCCTAATTTATTATCTACGTTATTCGATTGTGATGTAGCCGAAGATAAAATACGTTTCTCTAGGTGGCTTGTGTTCATAAGTGATTTCGAAGGTGAAATAAGTTCAGCAAGTCCTAGAAACGAAAAAAAGATCTCAAACAGTAAAATAGTTTCTCAGGTAAAATCACGTCACTGTTAACAGGTCAATTCTGTTTATAACACGAGTATACTAGATTAACAACTCATAATTCAGGTCTAAATAATTTTTACTGTACTACTACTGATCATATGTTAGACGTCTACATTTGGCAGGATGAAGTAAGTCACAGGTAATCAGTTGAAGTGAGTTCCGCAAATCAAAGAGTATATTGATGAAAGTGTTTTGCTAGAGTTCAATCAATAGTTTAAGGCAGTATCTAAGTGATAAATCCATTGACAATATAAAATCATGATCGTATTGCTTACCTGCTAATTCTCCCGGATCCGGTAAAGTATAACGTCGAGCAGGAAACATATTCCAAACAAATGCTTGAGATTCATCTGATAAAGTCACAATCCTAGTAGGATCACCTTTACACCAGCGTGGAACACTAACTTCACCAGTATGGCCAGAAAGAACTATTGGCTGTTGTTGACACTTACCAACAGCATAAATATGCGCTCGACGATCTGAACTACCACAAATTATGTAAGAATCATCTGGACTGATGTCTAATTTCACGTAGAAAGAGTCCGTCACATGACCAGTATAAGCGAAAACTGAAAGGGAAAGTAACCAGATAATAAAATCCGTCAAAATAAGTGTTATCTGCATAGTGATTACATGTTAGCTATAAAGCCCAACTACATTGAACGAGACTAATAGATAATAACTAACAAGGATGAAATTATTCCGTGTTAATATATGCTGAAGTAAACTAAAACTACATTTCCTCAATTGAAATGACTATCATTATGAAGACAACATTTCATAAATTCAATACATTTAGTTAAATACTTCAAGAGTTATTACGTTGTTTTAGTGTTTTCTTTCGAAACGATGGTAAAAGAAATACTAGTTAAACAGTTATGTATAAATCTATTATAATTAAAATTCCACTTCTGGTCAACTAGGTGACAGAAGGAAACAATCGGAATCATGGTCAAAGTGCATAAATTTTGTAGGTACTAGAACGAAGGTTCGACTTGATAAGTTCAGATAGATTGCGTATTGGGTAGGTTTTTAATAACGGAAATAATACCTTTGTATTATCTTAATGAAAAGAAACATTATTCTCGGGAGAAGTCGCTTACAATTAACTGCATAGATGTGATCGTAACTGTCAGTAGGTAAGTCATTTATAACGTAGAACTTCGTACGTATGTACATCAGTTCAAGTTGCCATACACATTACCACAGAAAGATCTAATTGTCAATTCAAATCTCATAGTAGTTGAGGTAGCAGAAGTGTTAGAGATAATGGAGAAGATTAGGATTCGGAGACATTATTCAAGAAGTATGATCCAGTGAAATAAATTTTAAATAATGAGAAAAAATTTGACGAGAAATTCGGAAGATTAAAATTGGAGAGAACACAACAAATGAATGCACCTGCGCCATTGCAAACGATTTTGAACCATGTTGTTCAAGGTCTTTAACCATTGGTGACTTTCGTCTCGCGGACCCCAACCAGGTAGCCTATATCTACCAACATGGCTCAGTTCACTTGTCAGTGACTTCATGGATTTGTGCCGTGTTTTTTTTCACCACCGATAGGGTTCTTTCAGTCTACTCCTACTCCGCAAAACATAGCTCGTAGAAGCAGTCGGTAGTTGGGTTTCCGTAACACATATCCTGACCGCCTCAACTGATGAAGATTCAGTACTCCATCTACTGATCTGCCATCCCTACTTAGTACCCTTGTCATAACAAATGCATAACTTACTCGGTTGTTCCAGGATATACGAGCAATAATACGAAGACACCTATAATCGAATAGTAGAAACCCACCTCGTACTTTCGTGAAGCGGTCAACACGCTCAACTACTTCACTTCCTATTACTAGTTTAGTTGCCGATGCAAGCCAATCCCGAGGCTAAAATTTGTATTTGGAGGGGGAGAATCACATCCCAAACATGCTTTCATTGTTGCCTAGAGTAGTCATAAGACTGCGTCTTGTCAGCGTCTTCACAAAATAGAATTATGTCATCCGCATATCCTAAGTCAATAATCGAGTCCACCCCTGAAAAGTCAGACGAGGATAATGTTATTTCTAAAAGCAAGTCTATGACGAAGTTAAACAAGAATGGAGAGAGTGGACTACCCTGACAGAAACCACTAGTAGTAATGAATTCAGATGACAATTTTCCATAAACTCTCTTTCGACCAGTGGTGTTCGAGTAAAGAGCGTGTGTGAGGTTAACGTACTTATCTGGTACACCTTTCAATGACAGACACTAACATAGAACCTTACAATCGACAGATTGAAATGCCTCTTTGAGGTCCAAGAAGACAACGATTGTCGGACGCGTAAATGTGTGACTGTGTAACAGGACCTGTCGTAGTGCGAAAATTTGGTCTATGCATCCTCGTCCAGGTCTGAAACCAGCCTGGTATTCTTGAGTCCGCTCTTCACGAGTTCTAGCTTGGCGATAGGATGATACGACAAAGAGGCAACGGCGAGTGTCCGTATCTTTCCGAGTCCTTACTGTCTCGTTTGGTCGGAATGCACACAAGCGACCGTCTACTAGGATCCAGATTAATAAAACTAGTTCTGCCGTAGGACTTAATACTACACCTACACCAGCGAGGCTACGGGAAGCAGCAACAGGGCTTCCAGATATAGGAAGCATAAAGCGAGTCGATTCTCCATCTGGACAAGGTGAAGTTAAATTAAACACTGCACTCAGATCCTGTATGCGCGTTTTGGAGACGGAACATACATCGATCGCGCGAGATTTTAAAGTCCTAGATAAGGAAGCTTGTTGTCCTATTTGATATGTTCCGATAGTTAAAGATCCACTGTGTGGTTCTGAACGACTTTCAGAAGACCAGGAACAACATTTTGTGAGCTTGAAACTTTTGCATCAACCGAGCGAGGTGACAAAGGAACGAACAAAGGGTTGGCCAATGAGTTAAGAGAGTTATTGGGGGGTGTAGAAAGGATTTGATTGTGACCGATTCGGTCTCTTGTGCTTTTACGTGTATGAGGGTGGATGTCCCTTCCCGGCTGCCCACACCGTGGAAAGGCTCTGGTTGTCAGAAGGGGCATCGGCCTCGTGACTTTCCAAGGAGCTTGGCTTTTATCATGAGACGTCATAACTCTCCTAAAGGAAGACCTTCTAACTCCCAGAGCAGAGTTTATATGGTTTGAATTACTTTTTCTTGTTAGCGCTTTTTTAGCGAGTTAGTTTTCGGCGAAGTGGGATCGCCGACCCCAATCCCAACCTCCCTCCTTTATTCGGGCTTGGGACCAGTAGTAGCCCCGTCGGGGCTCCAGGTGGAGTTTGGTCGTAATCGAGTGTCTAGGGATAGTATTTATCGTAGACTGATATAAACTAACGATCTCATGGAAATCAGAGAGTATTACACAGTTATGTTATTTTAGTTTGGAACTTGGAGACAAAATCTCCTAATCTTTTTCCTACAAAATAGATAATCGTTATGTTGCACACTTAACTAATTTATAACCAGTTATTTAAAAGTATTGTACTCATTATGAGATCACACAGATGAGTTTAATTTCGACTACGGTTGTGCTAGTTCCATTTCACAGACAGCTCACATGAAGGGACATATCTAATTAGTGATACTGAATTCAATATCAGCACTCCAAAGCAACTATCTTAAGGTCAGATAAAATTTTAAAAACTATTCAACTAAGCAATTAACTGTTGGTTAGGATTAAAATACTTCGAACTTAACGTCAGTATTCTAGCTGGTAATTAAACTCAAAAATGATTGTTTTCAATATTCGAATGTAAAATTATGAATTAAAAGTGAGTGAAAATAATGAATTGAACAAACAGAAAAATAAAGTAGGTATATTAAGTCATTCACATTATTATTTTTATTCCGTTCGTAAAAAATGAATAATAAGAGAGTTGAAAATTTTAGTAGATTTGTTGTATTTAGGTATACTATTGAAGGCGAAATGTTACTTTATTTTCTTTTAAATTTTTAGCGTTTCATCTCAAATTATTATTTAAGTAGTAAGGATCAGAAAGAACTACACAAATGTTACATACACTTCAATGACTATAGATATGAACTAATGATATTATCTAGTTGTGAATTATCTAGACTTAAACCACATAATAATCATAATACTGAAAATGAAAGTAATACTACTTTACACTCATGTAATATTTTCAAACTATTATCGTGATGAAAGTTTTTCATATGATTGTCTAGTAGAAATATACAATGTTTAGGCAAAAGTTATGTTCGCATCAAAACAAAAACAACAATATATATATGTATACTTACCTGGTTGTGTAGCTGGCTTTGTCAAATCATATTCATATACAACATTATCTAGGCAATTGGCATATAGACGTGTTTTGAAAGAATTTATTGTCAAATCTGAATAACCTGAAACGAAAGTTGGATAAGTTATAAATTTTAATAACCAGAAACTAATAACAATGAAATTCAGGAAGAAAAGTAGGATGTACAGACAAAAATTTTCTCACTTATTCAATCAACATTTAATCGCTCAGTAGAACTCTATGTTAACATTCTTTTATTTTTCTTATTTGAACAATCTATTCATCATATACAGGTTAACGTATCTACATATGAAACACAAAATGTCGTGACGAAAAAGGAATGAACCCACTGATTGCTTAAATTGAATTAAATGAAATAAGAATCAGTCACTCGATAGACTCGTTAACGAATGAGAGATTTAACTACTAGATTCAAGCTCTAGCAAATTCTAATATTTATTGTTCAGTAATAATATGGACGATTGCGTGACTGTTTTCGCAATTACTTCGGCTGTTTTGTTTACCGGAAAAATCCCGATATTGTTTGCGGATTTAATAACAACCGATCTATTCAGAGCATAAAAACAATCATTTTAAAGTAGGTCTTTCCTATGAATAGAATTGTCACATTTAATATTTTCATAATAACTTAATTGAATGAAAAACTGGAGACATTTAAGATGTAAGTGTTCATATGAAGAGGAATAGAGAGAAAGGAAGCAGAGAAAAATATGTTGAAAATAAATAACATATCGATTGATTTTTGCCATCTATTCAATTCCATTCTAGAAGCTTTTATTATTTAACATAACTCAAGTCAATAGATATTTTAATGATAATAAAAATTAATGTGAATTTGTGATAAATCAAATAGTTACTTCGAAAATATTTTACATGTGATCAGGTACTAGCTAGCTAAATGAAGAGATCTTTTCTGCATGTTATAAACACAACCTATGAAAACTGATTCTTGTGAGTGAACTGTTAATAAACTAGCATACAGTAATAACTTTTTAAATCCTTGGATTTTTAACAAAAACAGTTGCATGCTGTATGAGAAACTGTGTTCTTGTCAAAACTCATTTAGGTGAAACTGATTTAAACAATGATAAAAATTAATAGGCCTAAGTCCTTAATTGTCAATTTGTTGTAAAATTAACTATATTATTTAATAAAAATAGTATTTGAAAATTATATTCAGTTTATACATATACAATTACAAGTATGTGTACTCAGATTTGAGATGGAGCAGTGCTTGAGATTGAGGTCTATTGGTTGGAAGTTGAATGATTTGATCTTGTTTAATCTTGTATAAACAAAGAGCATGTAGTTTATGCAAAAAAAACCCTTTCTACTAAAACCTTAGACGAGTTCATTATTTTACTAAGAAACAGTTAACTAATATCATTAAAAACAGTTCTAATTGTTGCTATTTTGCAGAATCAATGGAAAACAGTAAATGATAAAACTAACAAAATTGTAGACAAAACCTTCAGTCAAGGTTCCCTTATAAGAACCGAAAAATATAAATATATACATATTACAGTTGTGTATTGTAGTAAAACATTACGATGGAGGATAATCAGACCTCACTAAGGATATTGTTCTATAGTCTCAAGCGAAGCAATTTTTATCGGTTTAGCGGTTATTCTATTCTATTTGTCAGTTATACGTATGCAAACATAATAACAAGATTTATAAATATTACATGAATTTATGACTGAATTATATACAGATAATTAATTTTAGCTGATATACATTTTTCGGATAAACCTATAATATTCAAATATTATTTTTGTAATAATTGATGTTCGTCTGATTTGAACTAAATATTTGTCTTCTATAACTCTAACAGAAACGTATAGAGATCGACAAAGAAGTTTGGTTTCAAAAGTATATCTTATGTTATTTTTCATAATATGTGGTTGATTCCATACACAAAAAGAATAAAGTTTGTGTATTACTTTAATAGTTGAATAATTGATTTTCGTAGTATGACCACCATGGTGATCATTATCATTAGTAAAGTCTTCAAGAAAATAGCTATATTAAAAATATGAAGTAGAACTATACAAGGGCTGTCAAAACTGAATACCAAGTAAAAAAAGATTTCAAACTTTATTTTAACTGAAGAGGATATTATGAAATATTGTCAACGGAATCAACGATGCACTATGACTGATTTTTCTCATGCTAGCTCGGTTTATTTGAATGATATGCAATTCAAAAGGTTCATTGAATCACTTTAAAAGGGATGAATACACTGAGAAAATTTAGCCGTAAATGCAAGTTTCTATAAGCTTTAAAAAAATTGCAGCATGGTGAGAATTTAAAAGATGCCTTTGATGAAATATTTAAAGGGTATTATAACATCATATAATTTTCTTCAAAAATTATGCAAAAAATGTTTTGAATTGAGACTACTTACCACTTTGTTTTTGTGAAGTACCTGAATAAGGTAAAATAAATTTTGGTTTTGCTTGTTTTTTACTTCCAACACAAAACACTCGTCTTAAATCCCACATTTTGATTGACCTGTTATAAGTAGAATGGAGAAAAATAAGCGATTAAAATAAAAATATGAATATAGTTTTACATTATAAAATGACATTTCAACGACAAAATAATTTAATGCCAGAAAGTACTTGATATTGGTTTATTTACAGTTTGAAACTCTTCAAATAAAGAGAATCCACAAACCGACCATCATGCACGCAATGAGACGGATTAGTCGAGGCCCACTCTTGCTCACTGGGCAAATATGACATTGATTGACATAAGCCTACAATGAGGATTACTTTGCAGTGTTATTTCCTACATAGTGATGTGGAATTTTTCGGACATAGATGATAGTTGAATTCATTAATCCAACATCTGGTGCAACAACATTAAACGTTTGGAACTTGTACACACAAAATACTGAATCTTGTATTTCAGCACATGAGATTGGTATCCACCTCATTTACTGTGCCAAATAAAATTTGTACTATAGAACTTTCTTTTTTATCAAAAAGAGTGAATTTATTGGTCACTGGTCACTTTAAATAATTATTTGATGATAATTATATAAAAAATTTCCGGTACTACGACTAATCAGTATGAAGCAAATCACGACTAATAGTACCAATAGGTAAAATCCTAACTGTAATGTTGTACGATGCGACGTTTGACCCATCAACATGAATATAACGCCAAGCTAAACAATAGCCACAAAATTGAAACATCGTAGACATTTATATGAAGAGACTGAAAATATTATATATTGAACTAAGTGCACCAATATGACATGCCGTAAAAGTAGAAGAAACCAAACTTGCTACAACCTAGTATTTGATTTGTTTGTAGTACACAGGACTAACAACACTGTGAACGGATTTATCAGGTAGTTTTCGCAACAACAATCTTCCAAAAACACACCTTGAAATAAAATAAATTAAATAGTGATTGATCTAAAAATCCCCGAGTCATAATGATAAAACAATGCAACTTACCCATCTGAAGATCCTGCAGATAAAAAGGTATTATCATCCACGAACAAAACGGAAGTGACACTTTGAGCATCAGTCTGAAATGAAAACATGTAATTTTATTATATATATATATATATATATATATATATATATATATATATATATATATATATATATCAAAATTTGTCATTTAATTTTAAGTATATAATGATGATGACATATTCGTTTCCAACATTCTGTGTATTCATTTTGTTTCTTCCAAACTTATTTTTTTTCAGTATACGTTTGATAGTTCGAGAAAACCTAGCTAGTTTCCTACCCAGATACGGATGTACGGACCAGATATTCACACTACGTCAGGTCCTAAGATATATACACACGTTCATACGTCCCATAATAATCGTATTTCTCGACCTTCAGGAGGCATTTGTTTTCTCAAATTTTAATCTGAACCGCTCATGATCTTTATCTTCTCTAATTCATCTTATTGAATTATACTTCTTGAATAATATCTTCACACATTGGTCTTTTCGATTACTGCTCATACTTCTACTACCTCTAACACTATGGGATTTGAATCCCATCTCATCAGTGCTGATGGCCTGGTGACTGATGAAACCTCAGCTCGGATACAGAAGGCTCGGTCGGCTTTTGCAAACCTGTGTCACTTGTGGCGGAGGCGAGATATCCGTTCGCTAACCAAAGGACGAGTGTACTGTGCAGCAGTTCGCCCCGTCCTACTATACAGATGCGAAACATGGCCGTTAAGAGTAGATGTTCGTAGGTTACCAGTTTTTGATCATAAGTGTCTCCGAAGCATTGCTCGTATATCGTGGGAAAACCGAGTCAGCAATGCTATCATTAGGAAACGAGTTCTAGGTAAGGATGGCAAATCAATAGATGAAGAATTGAAACTTCATCAGTTAAGGTGGTTGAGACATGTGTTACGTATGGCTAACCACCGACTGCCTCAACGAGCTATGTTTTGCGATGTAGGAGTAGGTTGGAAGAAAGCTAGGGGCGGTGAAACCAAAACATGGCAGAAATCCATGAAGTAATTGACAAGTCGACTGAGTCATGTCGATAGTTGTCGACTACCTGGTTGGGGTCCGCGAGTCGATAGTCACCGGTGGTTAGAGACCTTGAACGACATGACTCAGAATCGTTTGCAATGGTGCAGGTGCATTCACTCTTTGTGTTCTTTTTAATTCTAACCTTCTGAATTCCTCATAATCTCTGTCTTTCTCCTTCTAAATTTATTTCACTGAATTATACTTTTCGAATAATATCTTCGCTCCCTAATGTTCTCCATTGCTCCTAATACTTATACTATAGCTATCACTCCTGGATTTGAACTGACAATTGCCTCTGTGTGCTGATGTGGTATGGCAACCTGAACTGATGTACGTAAGTATGTACCAATTTCTACGTTGTTGCTGACTTACTGACTGATACTTCTCATCGATAAATATCAATCATAAATTTCAAATCAAGGTTGGTAAACTATTGATCGGTAGTAGGTTGAGCAGGTAGTAAGCGATTGTTACAAATGAAATTTCTCACAATAGATGAGAAATGTGAAGAAATTTGGTAAAGTTAACAAGTCGAATATGATTAATGCAAGGACAAACATATGCGAGTGCACGATAGTAACTTTTCCCAGATAATTTCTAATTAGGAAATCAGATATAAATAATAATACATCAGACAGTAAATACAGAATTGAAGTTACGAAAATAATTACGGATGAACATGAAATTTATAGTACTATGCATAGAAATAATGATGATGGAGCAGTATTCAATTCTTTAGTGAAACTGACTATAAGTATGTGTATAAACAAGTAATTTCCTTACTTAAATCAATGAATTTCAAAACAAAAAGTTGAAATTTTAAAATGTGAAAGACTAAGCATATCAGTTAACCACACAGGTTGCATTTCATTATGATTGCTGATATGTTGTTAAATAATGAGCTTTGACAAAAGGTAATTCAATTCACTATAACATAGGCACTAAAATTTCATAGGAATACTGAGTTCAAATCTAAAACATACCGCTGAACGCTTTGGCGTACGTGTTCTTCTACCGTCTGTATTAGATGAATTAGGCAAAAGCGGTACATGACACTGTGGCAAAACACCAACACTTGATATTCCTGGTGAGCCTAATTAATGAAAATAATTACAATCATAATTATACCAAAATAATCACAAAAAATTACGTTGACGTCAGTAGGTTGTTACATTTATTGTTTACTGTCATCTTAACAATAAAGGATGTATTCTAAAAATGCAATTGACAAGCGCTAAGATGCAAAATTTATTCATCAATTAACTTGTAAGTAGCAACGAATACAAAGGTATTGATTTGCTGGGGAATATAAATTATTATACTGAGTGAGAATATGGATTCTTTTTTTTGAGTGAGACAGCATAGTCATATTATTGATGGTGAAAAAGATGGCGCTATTAATAAACTACTCATTACAAGGATATATTTAGAAAAAAATAAATGAAATGTTATAAATCAACTGAAATAATGAAGCAACACAGTATATAGATAGTTATGATGCTTTCCAGATGGCAAACTGTTGCATTATGATAAACAAATTCAGCTAATAATTCCTATCTATGATTGAGGACTTAACGTTTAGAAATTTTATTTAGATTGACATTCTTCACGGAAATGAACTAAGGAAATTCTACGATCTGAGGAGATTGTCGTAATTACTATATTAAATACGAAACAATTACAAAATGGTTTTGTTTTTAATTGTTGGATCGAGTAAAGTTACTGAAGTATGTTGTGGTAATAACATTGTTTTCTGGTACAATTCTATAGCTCACAATATATGGTAAGTTGTTACTAAACATTCACAGTAATTTAATAACGGAGATATAAAAAGTATTATTTATTTTGAATAGAAAAATAATACCTCGAAAATTCATTGCGTCCGGTTTAACCCGAGTGTCCCACATACGTATACTACCATCCCGCGAAGTAGATGCGAATATATCTGTTTGGATTGTCAGAACAAAAAATACAATGTTTGTAGGAGAAAATAAAATAACTGAGAGCAAAATTTAATTCACAAAACAGAATGTAATTACTAAAGCTTAATACATGTTGCAGATTTCTTATCAAACCTAAAAGATACATCGAATATGGAGCTAAGGCCCATAATTTTTAGGAATTCAGTTAGTTCACTAAAATGTGCTTTAAAATATTCACGGAATACATTACGAATTTATTGTTAATACTAGTAATAATAACATATTACTCATATGTTTCTGTAGTAACCTGTATAAAATGATTTGGGTTAGTTTGAAAATATTCACAAAAAGTTTGCATACGGCAAGAATTACTTACGACAATCACTGGGCATAAATGAAAGACTGCGTACTGACATAGTATGTCCGAAGAATTGTTGTATTACGACACCTGTTTCAGCATCGATTAATCTAATAGACTGATCTCCGGAAGCTGTCAGAAAGCTTGATCCAGACGAAAGCCATTTCACATCGAATACTGCGTTACTATGTGCTTCATAATCTGGTAATAAAGAACACAATCGCTCCAGATGTGAATACCATTGAAAAATGTGAAGCCATTTGATTTAGTTAAAAATATGACTTAGTGAATAAAAGTATCAATAATTTAGACTATGAACTGGCTTCAGTAAGCCAACCATTGTGAACAAGGAGGCACTATACGATCGGTAGCACTGCACACCAGCGACTTAGCCAGAGATGGAGTGTAGGACTTTAAAGACTCATGATGAATACATTATTATATATACATATTATATATATATATATATATATATATATATATATATATATATATATATATATAATAGACCAAAAGGTGATATGGTGGAAAAAAATTGTAGCTCCGGTAAATGATTGTGGTTTTGTTTCGTTCTCTGAGCTCAGAGAACGAACTGATGAGCAGTTGACTCATTATTTGCTTAGCAAACAGATATCTCGCCTACGCCATAAGTGATGCAGGTTGACACAAGCCAATGGAGCCTCCGGTATTTGTGTATCCAGGCCATGAGCACTGATGGAACTCCCAAGACAGGTGAGGCGGTCACTTCCTATCACTAAACCAGGTACCTAGGCACACCAATCCTGAAAGAAAATTTTGCATTTTGAAGGGGAATAATCGCATCCCGAACATGCTTGCATTGTTGCTTAGGTTGGTTAAAAAACTGTATTTTGTCAGCGTTTTTACCAAGCAGAACTATGTCGTCAACAATTATCACCTTGTGGTCAAGGCGCTGAAATGTGTGTCTGTGTTCCAGGACCTAAGTATGAGTATTGAGTCTCTACATCTACGTCCAGGTCTGAACCAGACCGTATTTCTCGACTTTGCTCTTCACGGGTTCTATTTAGCCATCGAAGTACTGTTAAAGCAAATATTTTAGACACCATATTAGTCAGAAGAGGACTTTTGTCCATTCTTACGAACTAGGACAATCAGCGAATAAGACCAGTCAGATGGGGTTACGTCCAGTTTCCAGATACCACTTACGATCTCAGTCAATCTAAGTGCTAAAACTGGACTACTATGCTTAAAATTCTCAGGGGTTACCCTATCAGGACCTTCTGCTCTAAATCGCCTATAATTTCCTATAGCCTATTCACCTTTATACAGAGTCGGACTTACATCAGGTTGACTGAAGATCGTGGGTAACCGAAGTGTGGCTGAAGGCCGGTTAAACTGCTCCCTAGTGTTCTGCCCATCGATCCAATCTCTTCCATCGAGAGTGAATAACAGTGCCATCCTTTTCACTGACAGTTGGATCGTTACTACCAGTTTCTTTAGTAAATAAGAACGCTTGTCTACTGTTACTTATCGCCGCTGCTTTTTTCTGTCTCTCTTGCTTCCGCTACCCACCACTATTTTCAACCATTGCGTAGACTTCCTATCAGACCCCTCAGTGCGTACAGATCCAGATGGGATGAGTTTTCGAGCGTCTATTGGTTCAGTAAATGTTACTGAAATCCACCGTTTCTCCTTCACCTTTCGGTTTAACTTACAAGGAGATACCACTGCTCTTTGCACATATTTCTGGATATCATTTCAAGCTGTCTCGGAGGAGGTATCACTCACATCACTGCCTCACTGTTTTTCTAGTTGCTGCTGATAATAATCTGCGCTTTTCTACCGTTAAGTAGAACCCTAGGAGGTTTTTTTTCGGTGTCTTTCCTACGTCCAGTAAGACGGAGACAAATACGCACTCGTACTGTAGCATGATATGAATCTGAACTTGTGCTGCAGAATGAGCCCATTCATCGGTGACTGATAGCAATGTGGTCTGGCATGGGGAATTAACTCAGACTATGGGGACAAATTCATCTGCTTGGTTTTGATTTACATTGTGGATGGCTGAATTAACACAGATGAAGGTAAGTTGAAACCTGAAAACTAATATTTGAGTCAACTTGTCCGCTTGTTTTACTGCCAAAGCTCATGATTTAAAGGGTCAACTTATCGATCTTGAATAAAATAATCTACAGTTTTCAACCATTATGGTTGCCACACAGAAGAAAACCAGGACGTATAGACCTCCAGGCATGGCCTGGTCCAACCACTTATGGTATTACGGACTTGTGCCACAATTTGTCTGATTACCATTAAACTTCTTGATTTTATTAAGGGAGTTAGCGTTTGTACTTCGGCGGACACTGAATTAGGTAATACACAATTTAACAATCTAGATCGATAGAGCTTTACTGTAATATTGGAGGAGGGTCTATATTAACCTGCTATTTAAACTTAGTGTCAACAAATGATGCGTACACTCCTTATCTGAACTTAAAATAAACATGTTAATAACCAGATTCTGCCACAGAACGGTTTGAGTCTTGAATGTCAAGTGAGAACTACTGCTGAAATGAGTAAGACAAGTAAGGTTACTTCATCATTTTGTTCAACGAGAAAGCCAGAAAAGGAAATGCAGAGCAATACGGCGTTATAACAATGTACTTACGTTTGAGGAAGGCTTGAGAACCAGTAACAGAAGTATCATACAAGTGGACTAAGCCATCTTCCTGGGCGATTAATATAAGATCGGTATGGGCTAAAACATATAGTTTGAAATATTTCTTACTTGGAGAAAAGTCACAAGCGAAAGGTGGCGAACTCTAGAAATACGAACTGTCAGATTTTTGTCTTACCGGAGCTAATAAAGAATGAAGATGGTAAGCTTGGTTTCTTCGACATTCAAAATTCTCTACGCCAATAACAGGAAGTCTTTTTTCTGGAATCGCGTATAAAACTTTATACAGAATTTACGTGTTTCTTTCGTGGAGCGAAAGATCTCTCTCTGACTGACAGCTGAAAAAACACTTGGGGACATAAAATGCGACCTTGAAGCAGTAACTAAAAACAGCGCTAGTAATCAAAGGTTGTACTATCAGCCACTTTAAACACCTGACTTATGAAATTAGTTGTTATATTGACAGAAGAAGAATTTTGGTGAGTCCGATACAAAAGCTAAACTTCACGTTAAAAAATTGTGTCATTGTTCAAATTTTGTTACATAAACGTATGAGTCTGCACTGGAAAATGTTAAAAGTTTTCAAGTTAGTGATTTTTATATCGTCTAACGATTTGAAAATGTATGACGTTGGATATCGAGAAATGATATCTTTTTATTTTTTACGTTCGTTTGCCGAATAATCCTTATGACGTGTTTTGAAGTACTTCATATTTGAATGGCAACGGGTGCACCATATTACTCATCATCACTTAAGTGTATACAATTTGATCAGATCTTGAGATGCTTATGTTTCGAAGTACTAGTCAAGTGGTTATTAGGTCCGATTACTAAGAAAACTGGATTGAGATAACACGGTCCAATAGAAATTTTAACTAGTACTTACTTTGTATGGTGTTTTCGTAAGTTCACTTTTATGAAAAGAACGCTACTGGTTTAATAGAATCACTCAATACCATAATCATATGTACCAGTGATTGTTTTGCTGCAGTCTTAGTTAATTCGTACTCCGTACGCGCAAACTTTACATTTGTGTTCCTGCCAAGTTGAGGATATTGCTGGTTGTAACTTCGCCCCTCTTCCCTGGCACGACTTCGGTATTTTTTCGGTACCAGCAGATCGCCAGCAAATGTACGCCTTTTTATGGGTAAAATCTTCTCTGTCCTTGATTAACGGAGATGTTAGGCTTGCTGACGGCAAAGTAATTGGCCTGTAGTGGTGTTTCTAGTCAACGTTGACTCTCCCCCTTACAGTGTATTCACAGTTTGTTACGATTCCCTACTCGTTAACGATCATTTTTATGCATATTAACTATTTTTCCTGGATCATGGCACCGGTTAGACATATTCTCCGTCTTATGTTTGTTATTTCGTTTACAGGCGACGGCATAGAATGAACGTACCCCGAAAGTTCTGGAACTATTTATTTTTACCGTTCAGTTTAGTCGCTTTTTATTCAAAATTGTTTGATCACAACAATAAATGCTAAGTTCTACCAAGACGCCAGAATAGCTTACGGTTAGATTCAGTAAATTCATCAGTTGTCTTCATTGTTTCTCAACGTAAAATGCGTTCGGAGGGCATAAATTTACTTTTGATTTTCTCAGTTAAAAGGGCTTCCTAAATTATTGATAGCAACTTTTTTGGTCGAAAGGCTTCTTATTCAGATGTCTTATTAATTAGTCACCCCGGATTTCACAAGATGTTTTAAACTTATGGCTTACTTGACTGCTAAAACCGTCAGTTTAATTATTTGCATTATTAGATACACACCATATTAAACCATGTTTACTACCTAACTTTCAAGACGCCTAGCTTATTATTATCCTACTATAAATACTTAGTCATGCTTCATCACACAGTTTTTGCTCACTCTCCTACTTCAATTCGCTTCGCTTTGCTTGTACGCTTTTCACTCTGCATGGATGGATGCATCAAATAAATTATTCAACAAAACGGTGTTTTGCTACTTATTACTGCCATCGCAAATACGAGGTTGGCCTAGGTACGATAGACGGAAATGAGAGGAAAGATTTATCTCATCGCATACCTGATCATTCTCACAAACTCGAGTCGAATCTCGATGCGCTAATAATCCTTATGATGCGACTACATAGTTTATGCTTTACCACATTGAAGCAACGTACATTGTCGGTTATGTAGCTCAGTCAGGTTGATTGGAGTTTTTGACTACATTGATTGCATAATTATCCAAGAAAACATTTGGAATCCTATTAGCTCATTCGTTTACGATGCAGAAGATAGTAAACCAGGAATTTGCTCGGTTTCGACCAGGTTCCCGCACATTTACTTAATTACGCCTGTTACTCCCTGTAGAAGCCTTTTTGAATGTTTTGTTTTTTGGAAAATCCCTCCATGTTTACATATTTTTGTTATGACATGACGGACTCTTTCTGTTGACATTTTTGGTATTTTATTTGATTCCAGTTTGAGATTTCATCATTGTATATTGTTATTATTTCTATAATTTGTACTTATATTGAAGTTTTTGTGTTTGCTTTTGAACTGTATATATGTTGTTCAAATTTGATCTTTAATATGGCTACAGCCATATTTGGATTGATACGGTAGCTGTTGGACTTAACGTCACTTATTCATCTTTGTTTTGGATACTCTTCGGAGTAATTGTAACCTGGAAGGTGCATCAATTCCAGGTATTGCTTTGTATTTCCATCCTTTAATATAATACAGACCGTTTTCTCCTAGGATTGTTGTGTTTTTAATATTTGACCGGGAGATACGCGTTCAGATTGCACTTATTGGAAACCATTTGAACCGCTACGGTAGAAATCCATTTACACTCCCAATGGAGCATAGGCCGCCCACCAGTTTCCTCCAACCAACTCTGTCCTGGGCTTCCCTCTCCAGTTCTGTCCAATGCTTGTTCATTCCATTCATCTTTCTCTATTTCTCGTCGTGGTGTGTTCCTTGGCCTTCCTCTTTTCCTTTTGCCTTGAGGGTTCCATGTGAGGGCTTGTCTCGTGACGCAGTTAGGTGCTTTCCGCAATGTGTGTCCTATCCACTTCCATCGCTTCTTCCTGATTTCCTCCTCCACTGGAATCGGGTTTGTTTTCTCCCACAGTTCGTTGTTGCTGATGGTGTCTGGCCAACGAATACGAAGTATTTTGCGTAGACAACTGTTAATAAACACTTGTATCTTATGGATGATGGATTTCGTAGTTCTCCATGTTTCCACTCCATACAGTAGAACTGTCTCGACATTGGTATTGAAAATGCTGATTTTGGTTTTGATTGAAAGTTGTTTGGAGTTCCAGATATTTTTCAACTGTAGAAATGCAGCCCTTGCTTTGCCAATCCGCGCCCTCACATCTGCATCGGATCCACCTTCGTTGTCGATGATGCTGCCCAGATATGTAAAGGTGTTAACGTCTTCCAACGCATCTCCATCAAGAGTGATTTAGTTGGTGCATGTTGTGTTGCATCAGAGAATTTTGCTTTTTCCTTTGTGTATGTTGAGACTGCGTAGGCTGCTAATACACTGGTCGTCTTCTCTTGCATTTGTTGTTGCGTGTGCGATAGTAGAGCCAGGTCATCTGCGAAGTCCAGATCGTCCAGATGCGTTCTAACTGTCTAGTCGACACCGTGCTTCCCTCCAGATGTTGACGTTTTCATAATCCAGTCGATGACCAGGAGAAAGGGAAAGCGTGAGAGGAAGCAACCTTGCCTGACACCGGTCTTCACCTCGAAAGAGTCTGTCAGCTGACTTGCGTGAACGATTTTGCAGTTGAATCCATCATAAGAATTCCGTATGATGTTAACTATTTTTTCAGGCACGCCGTAGTGTCGAAGAAGCCTCCACAGTGTTTTCCTATTCACGCTATCAAATGCTTTCTCGTAGTCAATGAAGTTGATGTAGAGTGGTGAATTCCATTCAATTGATTGTTCCACAATGATCTGTAATGTAGCATTTTGGTCAGTACACGATCGATCCTTACGAAATCCGGCCTGTTGATCTCGAAGTTGGGCGTCTACGAAGTCCTTCATTCTGTTTAACAATACTCTGCTGAAGACTTTGCCTGGTATTGAAAGAAGAGTGATGCCTCTGTAGTTCTCACGCTTGCTCAGATCGCCTTTCTTTGGTATTTTGATCAGGTATCCTTCTTTCCAATCTGATGGTACTTGTTCCTCATCCCAAATCTTCCTGAAGAGGATGTGAAATATTTTCGCGGTTGCTTCTACATCTGCTTTCATTGCCTCTGCTGGAATGTTGTCTGGTCCTGCTGCTTTGCCGTTCTTGATTTGTCTGATTGCCATACTGATCTCCTCAATTGTCGGTGCGCCAGTATTAATTGGGAGGTCCGTGGATGCTGCTTCGATGTTGGATGTGTGTCAGTGGAGCTGGTCGATTGAATAGTTCCTTAAATTGCTCTACTCACCTATTTAGCTGTTCTTCAGTGTTGCTGATTACTTTCTCTTCCTTACTTTTCACTGGTCGTTCTCGTTTACGATAGTTTCCGGCGAGCTTCTTTGTAGTTTCATACAATTGTCTCAAATTTTACCCTCTTGCATTCTTACTCGCCGTCATTGCTAGATCTTCCACATATTTTCGTTTGTCAGCTCTGATGCTCTTCTTCACTTCCCTGTTTGCTTCTGTGTATGCAGCTTCTGCGGTAACTTTCTCTGCTCGTGTTTGTCTGACATTCACTGCTGCCGTATCAAACTTCTTTGATGTTGTCTGCCCCATTGTCCAGTGCTTCTTTAGCTTCAGTTTCATTTTGGCGACCAGCAAATGGTGATCTGAAGCTATATCAGCTCCTCTCCTGGTTCTCACATCCTCCATGGTGCTTCTGAACGTTTTGTTGATACAGATATGATCAATTTGGTTTTGAGTAGTGTGGTCCGGTGAAATCCATGTGGCTTTGTGTATGCGTTTGTGTGGGAATATTATGCCACCGATGACCAGTTTGTTGAAGTCACATAGGTTTGCAAATCTCTCACCATTTTCGTTTCTTTCTCCCAGTCCATGTCGTCCCATGATGTCTTCATATCCAGTGTTGTCCATTCCAACCTTGGCATTCAGGTCTCCCATAAGAATCGTCAAATCCTTTGGTGGGCATTTCTCGACTATTGACTGCAGCCTTTCGTAGAATTGATCTTTATTGTCGTCATTGTAGTCGTTGGTAGGTGCATAACATTGGATGACGTTCATTGTAATGTCCTGTTTCTCTGTTTTGAAGGATGCTTTAATGATCCTGGTTTCATGAGATTCCCATCCTATTAGTGCCTTTTGTTCATGTTTGGACAGCATCAGTGCAACTCCTTGTGTATGTGAAGCGTTTTCCTCTTCATGACCAGAGTATAACAGCAGTTCCCCTGAAGCTGGTCTCAGTTGTCCTACCTGTGTCCAATGCGTTTCA